GGGGAAAAACAATAAATTGTTGCATGAAGGCTGTAATGTTTAAATAATTTACCATTTAAAACACGTGAAGTCATGTGACCATCAGGAAGAACGCGTTCTCTGCCCTCGCGGTCTCCTGAGTTCGTTCTTCCGAGGACACCTGGCAAGACCGGTCTCCACAAGAACACAAGTCCGTTCTCTGCGTTCTTGGAATTGAGAAACAGCCCCTGCAGGGACACCGGCCCTCCTGGACCGAGATTGGTGACCCCTGCTATAAGTGAACTGCATAGTTGTAATCTAAACTACATTCTCGCCTGAAAAAGCCTTATGTGGCTGTATGTGGGCAGAGTAATACACAAGGGTGAAGGGTTAAGAGGTTGTACAAGTGTGTACGGCTATAAGCCAGAGTCAAGAACCAGACAGAACTGTTGTAAATATATCCTAGGTCTATAGAAAAATAAGACCAATTAAAAATTCTCATTTTATCCGTGTATATCTAGTTTGAGTAAAGTTTGGAGAAATATTTTGTATTGGCATGAAGTTCTGCTTTTCAAAAGCTTTTATTTTTCATTATAACTGGTGACTATTGTGTTGTGATTGAGAAGCAGTGTTATTCCACCAAATATGAATTTATACAGAAGTTAAAACACTAGTGTTCATTTCGAAAATGTATATAAACATGTCTGAAAAGGTTTTTGTTGTTGTTGTTGTTGTTGTTGTTCTCTTAAGTATGAACACATGTAATCAGTTAACAGAATAAAAGTATGTTTTACTTAAACACACAACTTTATCGTCATTTAGAGAGGTTTTTGCATAAGAACAAAAAAAAAAATAAATAAATATATGCGCATGCGCTGTTTATTTGACACCTCTCAGCTGGCTGCTACTGTTAGCACGCAAAATAAACTAAGTGGAATCTCAGCGCTGGTACTTAAAAGCAGGCTACTTCGTATTTGATCACAAACTTCCTATTTAGCACAACAGCAGTCAGTCTTACCATTCCTGGAGTACCATGAAGGAAACCAGCTCTTCTATCGAAATGTAAATTAGGCGGGTAAGCGCGTCCTCTGTCCCGCGCGGCCATCAATTAGATTAGCAGCATCAACCCACAGCTGATTTAATGATCCAGTTAATGAAGCTCCTGTAGCCCAAACTCATTATAGTCACGTCGAGCGGGATCACTTTTCAAAGTGTAGATTTCATACTTCTCTACAAGCTTGTCATTATGGTAATGTTCAAGCATCGCCGGTTTGATGACCAAAGGTCAAGCCATGTTTTATTTGTCAGTAGCCGTGTCTGAAAGGCAATTCAGTGGACTGACAACTCATTATGTAGATGGACATTTCAGTATTTCATTATGAAGGCATTATTTGGCAACTTTGAACAGCATTTGCCCCTTAAGCTGATAGCTACAGTTCTTTCTGAAATTATTGCAATAATATTAGTTTGCACAAGTTAATAGTTGGACGCAACAAAATGCTTTTTAAAAATGTCTGAAAAACATTTTTTTTTTGGGGGGGTGGGGGGGGTGAATAACTTTTTTGTAGTTATTCACCTCATTTTCTATTTAATTATGATGTTTAAATACTCCAATAAGTGTCATTTTAAGCACCATTTTTAGCTGGATTAGCTTGTTGTATCCTCCATTTTTGATGTACCAAAAATATTTCTTAAAGATTTATTATAAACAAAAACAAAAAGAGAGCTTCACGATTTTCTTCTAGCCTCTCTTGAAAATTCATCTAACAACAACAGCCTAATTAGTATGAACAGCAAAAGTCAGTCTAAAGCCTGATTTATACTTCTGCGTCAGGTGACCGGCGTTTCGGAAGTGTTAATGCAGACTGACGGAGACAGCGCGAAGAAGTATAAATGCACAGCCACGCGCGTGGCATGCGCCGTGGGTTACGCTGGTCACCTGACGCAGAAGTATAAATCAGGCTTAACCCACGCCGCATGCAACGCGCGTGGCTGTGCATTTATACTTCTGCGCGCTGTCTCCGTCAGTCTGCATTAACACTTCCGAAACGCTAGTTGGCAGTGAGGTGTAAATGTTCCTCTGTGTCGAGTTTCTTATCTGCTTTTTTGCTTTTCCTGAACACTTCCGGGATGTACAAGTGGCTCAAACTCGTTTTGAGGCAGGAACCGGCGGACGTGCAACAACTTTAACTATGAGGTAAACACAAAACAAAACTTTCCATCCGGGGGTCCGTTCTTCGTACCTTGCCTAAATGATCTAAGATTATTTGGCAGATCCTGGATCTTTTAATCTTGATAACTTACCTCTCGCTAATTTGGTTCTTCAAACAAGTTCGCGAATCAGATTAAAATGTCTGGATGAACTGATCTGAGATCGCTGCGTGTGTTATGAAGGACAGATCTATCGATCCTCGAAATCATGATCAGCAATGCAACGATTGGCTGACGGCACAGCAACGTAATGACATCATCTGATCAATATTTAATTATCCATGTGAGCAAAATTACATCAAATTAGCAGTAAACGGTTTGTTAAATATGACACGCAAGAACTTTACACATTTGTTGTGAGCTGCAGGCTTTACTCTTTCATTTGTCAAGACAAGAGTATTCATCATGTATTTCAATGCAAATCAATGTATTTAGTTCTACATTTAGAAAAGATTTTCTTTATAGTAGCCATTTTTTAATCGGTGTAAAGAATAACTGGTTGTTTACAAAAGCATTTTCATGTTGGTAAAGATGTCTGCAACTTTTGTGAAGCATCAAATCACTGGCATATTAACTATCAAAATATGTTTATGACTGCATAAATGTATTATTGCTTTTAAAAAAGTCACATATTGTGCATTTCTATCATACACAATTTGTACTAAAGCGATCTAAAAAGTTCATATCAATAAGTTTTCTCTTTGCACCAGATGGCAGTCTTTGTACCTTCATTTCGAGGGTGCAGATTGCATAAGTTTTATTAATATGTATAACTTAATTTATTTTATAAATAAATAAATAAATATATATATATATATATATATATATAGTTAAAAAATATGTACCATTTTCCCAAGTGTATATAACTACTACTGTAGGAAAATATCAGAATTCGGAACAAACTTTCTGTATTATCTTTGCTTGAACCGAGCCGATCTAATCCTGTTTATATGAATTGAACCTGCTTCCGATCAGGTTTGACCTAGCAGAACTGTTGCCATGACAACAACTCTCGGATCAGCTTTGAAGAACGAAACGATCCTGGATCGTGTCAAATCGTCAATGTCCAAATCCAGCTAACTGAGTAATCCACGTACGAAGGACGGACCCCGGTGCTCCTTCACGGGACTCCACACTTGTAAACAATCGCTCGCGCCATTCAGCGCTACCAAGCCGACCAATCACAGAGCTTACACTACGCGTCGTTGCGACGTGTAGTTACAATTTTTGAGAGGTGCACGTCAGTGACGGCGATGGCCACAGCAAAGGGCTATGCGTCAGCGCCGTAGCATACGCCGGCGTTTGACGCAGAAGTATAAATCAGGCTTGAGGCACTGGAAAAATGTGGAAAAAATATGAAATATTCTTTACTGACATGGCTATTTCTTAAAACTGTGCCCACACATTTTGATAACACTTGACTTCATCAGGGTAACCTGGTGTAGCCGCAGTTTTAAGGAACAGCCATGTCAAAAAGGCTTTTTATCATTTTTCCCACATTTTTGAGTGCCTTGGACTGATTTTGATGTTTATTCAGATGAATCCTTTACACAGAGCACCGACACATTAGCCCCTTTCACACAGTGATACCGGTAAATATCTGGAAAATTTCCGGAACGACTTTACCGGTATTTTCAAAAAAGTGCTGTTCACACAGGCGAGGACGTTTCCGGAAAAGAGCATTCACACATCCATTCCAAAATACCGGTAAATTCTGACATCATTCACCACAAATGAGCTTTAAACGGCTGCGCTTGTATTTGTAAACATTTGACTAAATTACAAACTCTGTGGATGATCAATATTGTGAACAACTTTCGCAGGATCACTTTCGCATGTCGAGATGTTCATAATATGTGCGTGTGCAGGCGCTTACAGGCTGTTTTACAGGCACACACAAAGCTTGAAGGTAAACAAACAACGGCTTATCATAAGCATCTCATTGATGATTATTTACACAGTTGGCATTAAGAAGAACATATAAACGTGATCTGACTAACTTCTAGCAGCTAAATGTGTCTGGAAAAATATTCAAAGGCTTTTATTCTCATAAACCGCGCGGACGTAAATGCGTCTGACTGTTGTGATTGGCTAAAGCAGACGTCTCACGTCAGCACGTTCTAGACGTGCACGCGCTTATTACGGTAATCTTCCTTCTGCATTCACACAGCGCAGCATTCCGGCAAATTGCCGGTAATGTTACAACTTCTCTTTCCGGAAAATAGCCAGAACGAATTTACCGGTATTTTCAAAAAGGACCTGTTCACACATACAACCTTTGCGGAAAATTGCCGGCAATTTTTCGGAAAGCTCTGTATGTGTGAAAGGGGCTATTATGTAAGCTACCCCAGAAAACTTTTTGTTGGATTTAGAATTTTTACACACAGCGTAATTAGTATTGAAATTAACTTTAATAGGCTGCTTTTGGTGCTTCAGATCTTTTCATTAATTTCAATTTTCATTTTTTTTTTTCATTTAATTTTTTTTTTTACAGTGTACATTACACACATCAACTAAAGTTTAAAATATGATATCGTAGTGGATCACCCCTTTAAAATCACAATGAAACAATTTCTGTATAGTGAAATAAAATTCATTATAACAGATTATTGAAAAAAAACAAAAACAAATGCAGGTCACAGACTTCTCCGCATTGGTTGTTGAATGAGGTCAAAATCAGTATATTAGATACACAAATAAAGTATTCAAAATAAGATCTTTAAGATATTAGTCATGCCGATTTCAGTGTTTATTTGTAATTATGATGTTGTTGTTGTTTCTAAGTTGGCATTTAATTACAAATGTAAGAATTCAAGAAACAGGAACAAATAAATATCCTTAGTTTTAATTGTTAAAAGAGAATCAACAATGTACAGACAAGAAATAATAAACATTTTGTGAAGCAGCCTGTAAACCGTAACGATGCCGCCTGGCTCCTGCCTGCAGAGACGGATAGACTTTTATTAGTACAATTATAGATTTATTAAAAACCAACAATTAAAGGGATAGTTCACGCAAAAAAATTTACGCACTCCCGAGGTTCTAAATGTTTAGGATTTTCTTTTTCTGTTAAACACACTACATGATATGCTGAAAATAGTTTCAAGCAGCCATTGACATCTGTAGTAGAAACAAAAATAATACGGAAGTCAATGGCTGTTTTTGATTGAATAAGAAAGAAACTCAAACCTCTCTGGAACAAGTGAAGCGTGAGTAAATGATGGCAGGATTTACATTTTGGTGTGAACTATCCCTTATACATTTTGGCTACCAAAGCATATATGGTTATGACTTCAACAGTAATGACATGACAGGAGATTAAAGTCGGCATAAATCAAAATATACATTTCCCATATTTTATATATGTATATGGTAGTGCTTGACTTATGATGTATCTGTGCACTTTATTATTTGTAAAACAAAAAAACAAAAATTTAATTAAATAATGTGTCCTCATAATCTTTAAGCAAATAACCTTCCCTCCCCCTGGTAAAGTCTAAAAGGGATACAGCTGCGGATACTCACATCAATATCGCATAATTTTTGTGTGACACTGTACAACATTAATTCATATTTTTGCATTGCTGTGAGTGTTGGGTTTAGGGTTGGGGTAGTTGTTAATAAAACACTATTTAATGGATCATTTAATAAATAATATGAATAATACTTGGTGTGATTACTGTTATACTTTACTGTTATGCTAGGGTTTAGGGGTTGGGGTAGATATTAAATAAATACAATTAAATGGATAATTTAACAAATAATATGAATAATACTTGGTGTAATTACTGTTATACATTACTGTGAAGGTTGTTTTTAGGGAGCTGTAATTAAAATACAATTTAATGTGTAATTTAATAAATAATATGAATGATACTTGGTATATTTACTGTTTTTACATTACTGTGATGCTTGGGTTTAGGGTTTGGATTGGGGTAGATGTTAAATAAATACACTTTAATGGATATTTTAATAAATAATATGAATAGAACTTGGTATAGTGACTGTATTTACATTACTGTGAAGGTTGGGTTTAGGGAGCTGTTATTAAAATACAACTTAATACACAGCAAAATATGGGGACCCAAAACAACTCTATGGGTGTTAATTTCAACCCTTTGAAAGTGTCTCATGGGGTCCACTCAAAACAGAGTTAAATCAACACTTTCAAAAGGGTTGGCACATTGACACCGAAGTAAGGGTTAATTTTAACTCTGGGCAGAGTTAAAATATGTACCTATATTTAACACCCCCTGGTGTAATATATTGTTATTTTATTCAACTCTCTTGAGTGTAAATATGGTAAAAAGGTCAAATAGACTGTAAATTACAAAAGAAAAAACATTTTATTTGAAAACATTCACCACTTCAACAATTCATTCAGTTTTTAAAATGCAACAATGTCAAATATGCTTTAAATGTTTTATTAGTACAGACAGTATCAACAAAATATGTATGACCAGTGCTCAAAAAGGCTGTTTCGGTCCTTTGGTCCAAACTTGATGTTTCATCAGTGCAATTTGAAAGTTCAATATAGCGTCACTCATAGTTTTCTTCTGAACGCATAGTTTTCTTCTGAAATTACATTTTAAACAACTTGGCGTGCAAATCTTTCACTTCTGGTGTTTCCTTGGTCCTCCATATCAAACACAGCAGTTTAAATGAAGGTACAAATGCTGTAAACTTGTGTGAAAACAAACTGGAGCTAGGAAATCTCATCAAACATGTCCTGTGAATGAAGTGCTTCCCAGCCACAGGATGACCTTTCTATCCATGACGATCGCTCGTCTGGTGGTTCCTGATGCACGGATATAGGGTGATGCTCATCTAAGAACTCTTCAAGACTCCAGCATGACTAAGAAAAATGTTTGAAAACAAATTGCAATCAAATTCTATGATATATTTAAAAGAACATTTAAAGTAAATGAAACATTCAAGAAATCAAAACTCACATTTTGAAAATCTTCATGTTGATCCACAACTTAACTCTCCCTGCTGGTTGAGGTGACAGGATATGGAAAAGTAGAAAAAAACACATATATCACTGTTGGATCTCCAAAAACAATTAGGTTAACCACTATGGCTAGAACTGGAAAAACAGGCAGCTGTCTGTCCAGAATCCTGAATTTAACAAAACACTTGGAGCAAAATTTAGAGGAGCTTAAAATCTTTTATATCATTTAGTGATGCTGACTTCCCCAAAATATTGGCCACAGTGTAAAAAATATTCATAAACTTACAGTTTTCTGTAAGCGTGTGCGTGCATGTGTGTGTGTGTGTGTGTGTGTGTGTGTGTGTGTGTGTGTGTGTGTGTGTGTGTGTGTGTGTGCGTGCGTGTTTCTTTACCAGATTCAACTTGTTAGGCCCTTTCAGGTCCAGTATTGACGCCACGTTTCCTGGAGTCTAGCAGATGTTTCAGGTCCAAATATAATCTAAAATATTAGGATAAGCAGAAGAGGAAAAGTGCAAAGCAGAGCAAAACATTATTTAAGTAACAGTTCACCCACAATACAAAACTTATCACCTTCATGTCATTTGTTATTCTCTAATGCTCTAATACCCTCTCAGCTTATTGTGAAACAAATACAGAACTTTATCAAACATACCTTCATTAGTATCACCACATATGACCAAGAAGGTGTGCTTGGTCATTTCACCAACTCTGGAAATACACCATCCGTCTCTAATCAGCCAATCGTCACAGGGTCTTGTGTTATTGTATAGAGAACTGTGGCTGTTAAAAAACAACAACACATTAGTATCTAACACATACGCATAACCTTCAGATAAAAAAGAGAGATAAACATCACAAAGTATGCCTCACACTTTTTCAGATATCTTTTGATTCAGATGTTGATTATTGAAAATAAATCTACAAATGAAACCTGTATCATCATTAGGCTGCTCAAATATGAATCAGTTGATTAATTTTACAGACAGGTGGCTGTTTACAACGCACTAAATTGTCTTTAATAAAACGGAAATGTTGTGTACAGTACATGCTAAGTTTAGCCTATAGTTTTAAGCACAATATCATGTGGGAGAAAAAGCTTGACTAAGATGTTCCTGACTACAGAGATAGCCTAACTTACTAACGTCAGACATCCCGAGTTAGGAAAAGTCATTTTCGGGGGATACAGAGTTGATTTGCGGGAGGTAGCGGGAGAGATGAGTTGCGCGCGACGCACCTAAAGAGCGGTGGGGGTGACTTGCGCGCGACGTACCTGAAGAGCTGGGAGGGATGCGGTGGAGAGGGGTGTGCAAAGTGTTTAATGACCGGGCGGGAGACGCGCGATTTCCAGGAGATTATCATTCATTTGCGGGCATCTACTTGGGCATCTGAGAGTCTCTGTGCATTTGCGGGATAACGTTAACGTTAGTCCCGCAACTTCCGGGAGACTTCTGTAACGTCAAATGTCTGATAAAGTGCAAACGCGGTCATTTAAAGACATTAATGTTAACATTCCGACTTTAATGGTTGTCAACACTTAACGTTAATATAATTCAAGCGTAACTGTTACGTTATCACACGAGTCTATGGACTAACGGTAAGGTTATATGGACGGCCACGAATGAACCAGTTTAAAAGGGCCGCGGTGTTTAAAATAACCAAATTAACGTACACGAATAACAAACGATCATATGTTTCAGTCAGGAAGCCTTTTACAAGTAAGCATGTTCATTTACTCACCAGATATGTTTTAGAAACTCTCCAGAGCTCATGGAAACCGTCCTGTGTTGCCGTTAGCATCCGGGCAGAGTAGGCTAGGCTGCTCCGGGGATTCCCTCGCTAGTTTGCTTCGAATTAAAGGAGAAGTGTCGATTTTATTTTATAGATGGGTAACAACGCACAAAATGGCATTAAGCGTGACAGAAATGTGTTGAACATGTACATTTGATGTTTTTATGCACTATGTATGCGTGAGCATATATAAAAACATTCTTGAAAAGAAGTCAATAGTAATGCAGTTAAGCTAGATAACGTTACACAAACGACCATGAATGAACCGCAGAAGTTTAAAATTGTCACTCCATTCTAAAGTTATTAACTTAACAATATGTTTACAACTGTATTTCCTTAAAGAAAGTCAGTAAAATACCAACATTTAGGTAGTTTGACTCACCAGTTGCTGTTCTAAACCTCAGATGGAAAATGGCGTCTGGAAAATTCTTCATAGACTGGGGCTCCATGAATTCCCGGATGTTGGAAATAACACCACCAAGTGTTGAAAAGATAACTCCTTGATTTCGCACTGAATAAAATCAATTTTAACTCTTATTATATTCATTTATCAAAATCTAACTCTTTAACGTCAACACTTTACTCTGAAACGCTTCAACACCGAGAATTTAACTCTGATGAATTTGCTGTGTAGATAATTTAATAAATAATATGAATAATACTTGATATAGTTACTGTTTTTACATTACTGTGAGGGTTGGGTTTAGGGTTGGGGTGGGCGTAGATGTTATTAAAATACATTTATTGGGTAATTTGATAAATAATGTAAATAATTCTTGTTAACCTCTGGCATCTGTATCCCTTCTAGCAGCAACCCTACCCCCTTAAATTTTTTTTCCTGACTTCAGGTCACATGGAATGCCTTTAGGGTGGGGCTATCAGTGCATGTCTTGTTTCTGCGCTGCCTCTGGGAGGCAGTGATTTAAACTAATATGATATGATTCCATCTGTAGAAATTAGTTCCTCTTTTTAATTTTCATTGGCCATCTTAAAACATTTTGGCGCAGAGTAATCCTCTACAACTCCCTGAGTACAAACTGGCAATCAAATCTTCCTCCATTTTGTTAGCAACGCTCATTTTTCAGCGGTCCATTCAGTTCTTAAAGGACAAAATCATGCACCACCCTACATTTTAGGACTGCATATTTTATTTTTCTGCAACAAATATTGCCATATGAAGACGATGTTTCACAAGATGGCTTGAATAGCTTTATTTGACAGTATTCAGGTACGTCAGAAATCAAGAAATAATGTTTTATTTTTTTACCTTCAGAAGAAACAAGTCAACCCGAAGAGTTCTGCCAATGGGGTTAGTAAAATAATATAGTTTTTGCTTTAAAATGTAGATATTTGGACTAGAAACAAGACGAAAATATGTAAATAATATTAATTAATTTTAAATATAACTAATGAAATATAATAAATCTATATTACACCTCCAAAATGAATTTTTTCTGGGCCCAAATGTTTTAAACTCTCTTGAAATGCTCAGTCACAGGCCTTAAAATCACATGCTAACAATAAACTTTCACTCTATTATGGTTAAATGCAGCAGTGGTCCTATGATTTTCAGTTCCTGGGTAACTATAATTCAGACAGAACATTGCAGACCCTGTGATGTGACTATTGCAGATGCACACATTGCGATTTACAATATATTGTGCAACCCTACTCATTTTTTTTTCTCATTTCAGAAACGGTTTAATTTAAAGAAGATCCCGATATGGGAGAAAAGGTCAAATTAACCTCCATTTCATGACGACTTCTCAGATCAGAAGAACTAGCGCTGCTTACCTCTGTGTCCAAGCATGAATTCTCCTTCAAACTGAGCCATGTCAAGTGCTTGTCTTTGTTCGCTGTCTAATTCTGCCCACTGCTCCTCTGTCACGGCACACGCCTGTTCAGAGCTCAGCCAGGACAGCTGTGTGGCACTGAATACCACCTGAAACAATGAGAGTCATGTTTAATAAACAACATTTTAGGGTCGCCAACCTGATTTTACCAAGTAAGACATGTTCTTGGATTAACATCTACGTTGATCCTGGAACAACATTTCAATCAGCCAATCAGAATTAAGACATATGTTTATTGTTTATGTTAGGTTTAGGCTTATGGTTAGGTCCAACTATTTTTCCTCTTTTGGGGAATAATTTACTATTATGGTTGGGTTTAGGGGTAGGGAATATGTATGGATTACATTTTCTCTTACAAAAATTATGATCCTGGATCAACATAGAACCAGGATCGCATCGTACTTGGCAAAATCATGATGTGTGTTTTAGAGCTTTCCTTTCATTTTTCATTAGTCTACAGCACAGGTGTCAAACTCAGTTCCAAAAGGGCCGCAGCTCAGCACAGTTTAGTTCCAACCCTAATTAAACACACCTGATCAGACTAATTGAGTCCTTCAGGCTTGTTTGAAACCTACAGGTAAGTGTGTTGGAGCAGGGTTGGAACTAAACTGTGCAGGGCTTCGGCCCTTTTGCATTTACATTTAGTCATTTAGCAGACGCTTTTATCCAAAGCGACTTACAAATGAGGACAAAGAAGCAATTTACACAACTAAGAGCAACAATGAATAAGTGCTATATGCAAGTTTCAGGTCTGTAAAGTCTAAGAAGGGAAGTATTAGTATTATTATTATTATTATTTTTTTTTTGGGGTACAGTTAGTGTGATATTCAGAGAGGCAATTGCAGATTAGGAAGTGAAGTGGAGACTAAATAGTTGAGTTTTTAGTCGTTTCTTGAAAGTAGCGAGTGACTCTGCCGTTCTGATGCAGTTAGGGAGTTCATTCCACCAACTGGGCAGATTGAGCGTGAGCATGAGCGAAAGTGATTTCTTCCCTCTTTGGGATGGAACCACGAGGCGACGTTCATTCACAGAACGCAAGTTTCTGGAGGGCACATAGATCTGCAGAAGTGAGAGCAGATAAGAAGGAGCAAGGCCAGATGTCACTTTGTAGGCAAACATCAGAGCTTTGAATTTGATGCGAGCAGCAACTGGCAGCCAGTGCAAACGGACTAGCAGCGAAGTGACATGTGCTCGTTTAGGTTCATTGAAGACCACTCGTGCTGCTGCATTCTGGAGCAGTTGAAGAGGCTTGATAGAGTTAGCTGGAACTGAGTCAGTTTTGGAACTGTTTTGGAACTGGAGTCAGTTTTGGAGTCAGTTTTGGAACTGAGTTTGACACCCCTGGTCTACAGGGTCATTTACACAAGTGCATTTTCATTTAAAAAAAATATAGCTTCTGTTAAGATTATAGCAGGTTGTAGACATTTTCGACTCATGAAATTTGAACGTACTGAAAAGCTTAAGACCCTATTTTAGTTTGATAACGCTGGAGTTCAGTTTTAGTATAGATAGACTAAAACACAGACTTTTGAATACATGCATGTGCAGACCCAGTGCCAGAATAGCTTAATTGTTGGGCAATTGTAATCCCATGGGGGCACAACTAGACCTGATGACTGGTTTGGTCCCTCCTTGGGTCTCATTTCTAAACGGAGAACATGTGGAACTTAAAGTAAACTCTTATTAAACATTCATTCATTCTTTTTGACTTAGTCCTTTTATTAATCAAGGGTTGCCACAGTGGAATGAACCTCCAACTTATCCAGCATATGTTTCACGCAGCGGATGCCCTTCAAGCTGCAACCCATCACTGAAAAACATACATAACCACTCATTCACACACATAGACCAATTTAGCTTATTCAATTCACCTATAAACCCATTCAACACGGGGACAGCATGCAAACTCCACACAGAAATTCTTATTAAACATAATTGACTTAGTATTGGCTTAATTAAATCACTTTATCAGCATTTAAGACATAATCGGGAATTACTGAATTAAAATTTATTCTGGCGTATGTTAGGAAGGTTTCTATGCCAAGTATTAAAAATGAGACCCCTAGACCATTTATTTATTTATTATTATTAATTAACACTCACTAGCCACTTTATTAGGTACACCTGTCCAAATGACTGTTAACACAAATTGGTCAGAACAAGAGAAAATACACAGTTAGCAGAACGCACATGTCCAACCTTGAGGCAGATGGGCTACAGCAGCAGAAAACCACATTGGGTGCCACTCCTGTCAGCTAGGAACAGGACACTGGGACTACAAATTCACACAGGCTCACCAAAATTGGACAATAGAAGATTGAAAAAATGTTGCCTGGTCTGATGAGTCTTGATTTCTGCTGCAACATTCGGATGGTAGGGTCAGAATTTGGCGTCAAGAACATGAAAGCATGGATCCATCCGGCCTTATATCAATCGTTCAGACTAGTGGTGGTGGTGTAATGGTGCGGGGGATATTTTCTTGCCACACTTTGGGCCCATTAGTACCAATTGAGCATCGTGTCAACACCACAGCCTACCAGAGTTTAGTTGAGTTTAGGCCTCCACAGTCACCAGATTCTCAATCCAATAGAGCACCTTTGGGATATGATGGAACGGGGGTTTCACATCATGGATGCACAGCCGACAAATCTGCAGTAACTGTGTGATGCTATCATGTCAATATGGAGCAAAATCTCTGAGGAATTTTCCAGTACCTTTAAGGATTAAGGCAGTTCTGAAGGTAAAAGGGGGTTCAACACTATACTAGTAAGGTGTACCTAATAAAGTGGCCAATAAGTGTATATTACTGCCTGTCCGAAACAAACATATTTCAATATTAAATAGGCTAATAATCAGGGGGATTATTAATTACTGTTCTTCGCCACTCTGCCACCACTACATTCCTTTATAGGATTGATTAAGAAAGTCTGATTTACTACACATGGTATTCGCCTTTGAGTGGACTTTTCCGCTTATAGCCTGTGAGATTTCATTGTAGGAATCAATGTTTACAACCTCTTAGAATGAAAAATTCCATCAATGAAATGCAACCAAGTTCCTTATATTCTATGGCACTTTTGTATAGTTTTTATACTATAGTATAAAAATAACTAAAGAATACTGGGGTCTGTGGGGTAGTATACAATTTTGGTCAACTAAATTATGTGAGAATGAGAGTGTGTATGAGTGTTTCCCAGTCCTGAGATGCAGCTAGAAGGGCATCCACAGCATAAAACATATGCCAGAGTAATTGGCGGTTCATTCTGCTGTGGCGACCCCTGATAAATCAGGGACTAAGCCGAAAGATAGTGAGTGAGTGGGTTTTCGCAATCAATTCATGTTTATCACACAGGTTTGGTGGACTAAACCAGTGTTTCTCAACCATGTTGCAGGAGGACCACCAGTTCTGCACATTTCCATGTCTCCTAAACCAAACACACCTGATTCAGATCATGAGCTCATTAGCAGAGACTGGAAGACCTGTATTGGGTGTGACAGGCAAAGAAGACATCCAAAACATGCAGTGCTGCTAGTCCTCCAACGTGGTTGAGAAACACTGCACTAAACAACAGAAATGAACAACAGAAACCCACAGCAATACAGGGGGAATATACTAAATCCACACAGAAACACTAACTGGTACAGCTGGGACTCGAACCAGCGACCTTCTTGTTGTAATGCGACAGTGCTAAGCCGTCGTGCCGCCCCACTAACACATCTTAAACCAAATTAATATGACTTGCAATAAAACATACAAAGTGTAGTCTGCCATAGTAAGGTTGTACGAACCATTATAATGCAGTCATAAATAATGAATGAAAACACTCACAGCCAATTTTCGTGGTGGTATCAGGGATATTGCTGCTGGCGTCAGTCCTTCCACTTGCTCTTTTATAAGTGCAGACAATACCATGTCCTCCAGCCCGGCTGTGAACAGAGAATCCAGTTTGTCTTATTCTCTTTATGAGCTTGCCCATTTTGCCATGCGTATATTGTCCGCTGAACTGATTGTAATCGAATCCACATTCAGTACCTGCCAAAGTCCCAATCTCGGTGAAGACCTCGGAGCCCCAGTTGCTGACTGGACCAAAGCCCAGAGGATTGGATATTCGTGACGTCAGCGCCTCGGTCTGCTGCTCAGAACACGGCAGTACAATCTCCCCCAGAAACAAAGCAGCAACACTATTGAACACACGACACAATGTAAAGCTCTCAAATATATCGAAGCGTATCGTATTGTGTTTGGAATCAAATCGTTTCGCCCTGACCTCAGGTTGAACGGGTCAAGTCTGGATATTTCCGAAGGAGTGAAACCACAAAGCAAATATCCAAGAGAGACGAGCTCCACAACACCAAGTTCTTCAGGTTTCCATTTAAGTCTCTTCATTATGCCAAGAACAACTGCTCTCATCTGTAAAATAACGAACTAGAAGTGATGCAGTTTCCTCCGTTTAAAGGGATAGTTCACACAAAACTGAAAATTCTGTCATTGTTTACTCACTCTTCACTTGTTCCAAACCTGTTTGCATGTCCTTATTCTGTTAAACACTAAAGAACAAAGTTTCTGCAGGTTTTAAAGTCAAATAAGGTCTTTATAAGACCTTTTTAAAACCACAAAGAATGAAATTTCAGACTTATACAGTGCTAAACGCCAAGGCTTTTTCCAAAAGTTTTATTGAGATGGATTGTTAGTGATTAGGTGTTGACTTGTTTGGATAGCTTTGCGAGGACATAGGAAAATTAAGACCCGGTTAAAATCATTTAACTCTTATGTATTGTTAGGGATGTTTTCCTCCACTCTGGGGTGACTTTGAGTCTTGGGGTGCTTTCACACTTGGACCGTACCCAAGTTCGATTGTCCCCCCTTGCCACCTTCTCGGTTGGTTTGTGTTCACACTGTCTTTTTTCCTTCTGAACCTCGGTAAGCTTGCATCATCGAGCTACTGTTGTGTGTGCTGCTGTTGCTAGCTGACGGACACGAAAGCAAAGCGCCAAAATGGAAAGACGTCCGCACATTGTGGTCGTTCTGCTTTTACAGATTTTTTTGGTTTTGGACAAACAAACTCGCGTCTATCAGCCGCAAAAATATTATAATGGCTCAGAACATCACGCAATGTCTGCAGAAGCTGTTTTTGGAGGAGACAAGCAGACATCATCACTGTGTTTGCCCTGGCTCAGTCCCGCTTGTTGCCAAGGTACAGTACATGATATGCACCCACACACGCACGCACACACACACACATACACACACACACACACACACACACACACACACACTAATGAACATTATGAAAACTGTAGTTTGTTGTACTATTGGAAGTTCACTTCCATTATTTGGTGCGATTGCATTCATACCAGAAGTGAACCGTACCAGATTTCGTGTGAACCGTACCCCAGACTAGAGATCTGCGCGGGACTAAATTTAAAATACCGCTCCCACCAGGTTTTAGTACGAACATTTGTTGTCCCACTGCCCATCCCGCCCCGTTTTCCTCCCGCCACGCCCATTCCCACTAACGGAGGAGGGGGGACAAAACCGAACAAAGCCAAAAACCACCCAGCTATACAGATTCCAGACAGCCTATAACAAGCTTTCTGTATAAACACACACACACACACACACAGACAGCACCAAGCTCTCTGTCTCATTTACATTTACATTTACATTTAGTCATTTAGCAGACGCTTTTATCCAAAGCGACTTACAAATGAGTACAAGGAAGCAATTTACACAACTAAGAGCAACAATGAATAAGTACTAAAGGCAAGTTTCAGGTCTGTAAAGTCTAAGAAGGGAAGTGTTAGTAATTTTTTTTTTTTTTTTGTACAGTTACTGTGATATTCAAATAGGCAATTGCAGATTAGGAAGTGAAGTGGAGACTAAATAGTTGAGTTTTTAGTCGTTTCTTGAAAATAGCGAGTGACTCTGCTGTTCAGATGCAGTTAGGGAGTTCATTCCACCAACTGGGCAGATTGAGCGTGAGCGTTCGCGAAAGTGATTTTTTCCTCTTTGGGATGGAACCACGAGGCGACGTTCATTCACAGAACGCAAGTTTCTGGAGGGCACATAGATCTGCAGAAGTGAGTGCAGATAAGAAGGTGCTAGGCCAGAAGTCACTTTGTAGGCAAACATCAGAGTTTTGAATTTGATGCGAGCAGCAACTGGCAGCCAGTGCAAACGGACTAGCAGCGGAGTGACATGTGCTCGTTTAGGTTCATTGAAGACAACTCGTGCTGCTGCATTCTGGAGCAGTTGAAGAGGCTTGATAGAGTTAGCTGGAAGCCCAGCTAGTAGAGAGTTGCAGTAATCCAGTTTGGAGAGAACAAGAGCTTGAACAAGGAGTTGAGCTGCATGTTCAGATAAGAAGGGTCGGATCTTTCTGATGTTATAGAGTGCAAATCTGCACGATCGAGCAGTTCTAGAAATGTGGTCAGAGAAGTTTAGTTGGTCATCAATCGTTACTCCAAGGCTTTTCACCATTTTGGATGCAGTAATGGTTGCCCCATCCATCTGGATTGAAAAGTTATGGTGTAGAGTCGGGTTGGCAGAAACTACAAGCATTTCCGTTTTTGTGAGGTTCAGCTGAAGATGATGATCTTTCATCCAGTGTGAAATATCCAACAGGCAGGCTGAGATACGAGCTGGAACCGAGGGATCATCAGGATGAAAAGAGAGGTATAGCTGGGTGTCATCAGCATAGCAGTGGTAGGAGAATCCATGTCTCTGGATGACTGGTCCTAGAGATGATGTGTAGATGGAGAAGAGAAGTGGCCCAAGAACAGAGCCTTGAGGTACCCCAGTGTTTAGATGCTGTAGGTTGGACACCTCTCCCCTCCAAGACACCCTGAATGACCTGTCAGAGAGGTAAGATCTGAACCATTGTATAACAGTGCCCGCAACGCCCAGTGACTCAAGCGTAGATAGCAGGATCTGGTGGTTGACAGTGTCAAAAGCAGCTGACAAATCCAGCAAAATGAGGACTGATGATTTAGAGTCTGCTTTAGCCAGTCTGAGATCCTCCACGACCGAGAGCAGGGCAGTCTCAGTTGAGTGGCCTTTCTTAAAGCCGGATTGCTTGTTGTCCATGAGATTGTTTTGAGTAAGAAAGTCCAGGACTTGATTGAACACTACTTTCTCCAGAATCTTGGCCATGAATGGAAGCAGGGATACTGGTCTGTAGTTTTCAAGTAGCGTATGGTCCAGGTTGGGTTTCTTTAGCAGTGGGGTTACCCTAGCCTGCTTAAATGTAGTGGGGAATAAACCAGAGTCAAGAGATGTGTTAATTATGTGAGTCAGTGTTGGTATGACTGCAGGAGAGATGGCTTGCAAGAGATGAGAGGGAATGGGATCGAGTGGACAGGTGGTTGCATGGCTAGATAGCACAAGTTTGGACACCTCAGACTCAGAGAGCTGAGAAAAAGAGGTGAGTGTGTGTGGTGTTGGTGTTGTATCTTGCGTGTTTGTTGTAGGTGCAGCAAATTGAGCACTGATTTTTGCAGTTTTGGTGCAGAAGAATGTAGCAAAGTCATCAGTAGTAAGTGTGGAGGATGCGGGTGGAGGAGGAGGATAGAGGAGGGAGGAAAATGTTTTAAAAAGTAGGCGAGGATTAGTAGCATTGTTGATTTTCAGACGGTAATACGTCTGCTTTGCAGAAGTAACCTCAGCTGAGAAAGAGGACAGAAGAGTTTGGTATGTTATTCACACAAATACACACACACATAGACAGCGACAAACAAGCGAAACGCAGCATCACGCTCTCTCATTCATCTCATTCACACACATACATACGCGTGCTCAGGAGTCGGGAGCGATATTGTTACATCACCCGCTCCTGTTCAAATTACACCAGTTACCGACCGCTCCCGCGATTTATTTGGAAATGCAGACCTCTTCCCCAGACCACCTCTTTCACGGTTCCCGGGTGCGCACTTGAGTTCAAAAGACACGTTCACACTAGCTAGCCGTACTCTGACATTAAATGAAGCCGTGTGCAAACCAAAAGTGCTAGTGTGAAAGTACCCTTAATTTGGCCATAACTTTTTCCGTTTCAGCTAGTAGAATGATTTTGGTGACAAATCTTATTTTGACACATATTTTGAGAAAATGCTCATAAATACTCATAAATACTCTCTTGGCAAATTCACTACCCTTTTGTTACGTTTAAGATGAAAACATCCACTGAATTAAACTGCTGTTACATTTTTTTCATAAATGTGTTAATCAACTACAGTCCTGATCAAAACTACCAAATTGCTTAGAAAATTCCAGGATTTTAACTCTTTAATTGTCAAAAAATTATAAATAGTATCACTGATTTGGCGAGTAAAACACACAAAATGACGTATTTTTAATATAAAAGTAATTGTGGACTGGATATTTTTTACTTTTTATCAAAGTCTTGGACGTAAATCAACATTGCCTTTGATGCATTGTTTTTGCTTTATTTTTATTTTTTCTCCCTTGACTTCCAAGATAACCACATTTGTTTAATTGCAAATTCATGCCACGATATATAATCATGCATTCTTGATTGTTGGTGCCTTTACCTGCTGGGAAGAGGTAAAATTTGTAATTTTACTGTTGATCATCAGTTGGCACCATTAACCCTTTAGATAGACATGTGCAAAAAAAGCTTAGTTCTGGGTTTTATAGAGTAAACCAGCTAATTAAAGTGTATGTAAGTCTTTGAATGTGAAAGTGTGAAAGTGGTCTTTGCGCAACTGCCTTGATGTGAGTGAGAATATTAAAATATGCATCTAAGCTCTCAGAACTACATGAAGTAAACAAAGACTGTGTATTTATGCACAATCAGATGTGGTTATAATGGAAGTCAATGGGGCAAAAACCTCCACCAACAGTAAATTAAGGAGAAAAAATTAAAATCTAACAATGCATCAAAGCCAAGAGTGATCAAAGATAAAAAAGTCCCGTCCACAATTACTTTTAATATTAAAAATACGTCATTTTGTGTGTGTGTGTGTGTGTGTGTGTGTTTTTTTTCATCAAATCAGTGACATCATTATGAATTTGACAATTCATAATGATGACAAGTAATTTTTGAAAGCATTTAGTAATTTTGATCAGGACTGAGGTTGATTAACAGATTTATGCAAAAAAATCGGATGCATTTTTTACAGCAGGGTTACAAAGGTTAAGAAGGACAATACAATATTTCAGAGACTTTAATACTTTGTAAGGCCTAAAATTTAGTTTTCGAAATTTAAAACATTTTAAGATTCCACAAACATCCTGAAAGAAGATACTGTATGTTAAAGAAAGCTTGAAACCTATAACCATTAACTTCCATAGTATTAGTTTATCTTAATTATTTCGTACTTTTCAGCTTTCCTCAGCATAGCTTTTTTATTTTTGAATAGAATATTAAAACCTGTAAAGGTTTGGAACCCCTTGAGGGTGAGTAAATAGTGAGCAAAATGTTCATTATTGGGTGAACAATCCCTTTAAGTTTCGAATTAAATTCAAGTCAATCTTTAAAAAATAGAATAAAAACACATACTTTCTTAGCGTTCCACCCATTGAGGTCCCCAAGATGGGCTACTACACCCAAACTGGACAGATTGACAGCTTGTAGCTCTCTTTCGCCCATTTCAGTCACTATACAACCCAGTTCCAACACCTGTTCTGGTTTAAGCTGCTTCACTGGTTTATACACCTAAGAGAATGATTGTTGTGTGAGATTTTAAGTTCATTTCATAATCACTGAACAGCATTTGGTGTACAAATGTCTTAACTGGTCTGAGTTCCATCCAAAGTGCTTCACGTTGCTCGTCGTCAAGTGTGTCATCCTGGCCGATGAACTCAACACAAGTCTTCAGCTCTCTCCTCTTCATTCGTTTTAGCTGATAGGACCTCCAGGCCGAGGGAAATGTCCCTTTAATGTCTGCACAGCTTGGGATGGGCCCTAGTAAAGAAACAATATATGGTTTACGGCAGCGGTTCTCAAGCCTGGTCCTCACGACCCCCCCGCTCTGCTCTGTATGTTAATCTCAATACTGTAGAAGTTTGTTCCATTTAACTGCAAGTGCCCTGCAAAGTAGACATTACAGGATATTCTGTCATGATTACATTTCGAAAGAAGCGTGTATTGAATTGAATTTATTGAATGGGATAGCCTCTTGAGATGAATCATCTCATTTTCGAGGGGGTCCCTAAAATTCAACAATTCAAACTAGTGATGGATTGTTCTTGAACGATTCATTCATTTTGAACAAATCTTATATGTGACTTGAGAACGTTGAGTCCTCACAGGGAGTTATTAGTTCATTGCACAGGTGGGGGTGATTAGTTCCTTTTTGAGTTTTCGATCGGGTTTGAGTGGTTAATTCATCCCGTGAAAGACAGAAGCCAATCATATGTAACCAGAGCCGGAAAAAGATTTGATCCGTTCATTTGATTTGAGTGCTCAGTTTGAGTCATCTCTTTACATGCTGTCAAAAACCTGAAGACTCAAAAGGTGAACTAATCATAGGTCCTTTCGGTTCAGGTTGTGTGCATTGGTCAAGCTTATATGGGACTGTCAGTGTCTTGTGAACAAATGCCTCAAATTTAAAAATTACACAAAACTCCGGAGAAAATGTGGGTAGTGTGGTGACGCAATGACGAATTATGTAAAACGGGATTATGAAAGGAACATTCAACAAACAACCCATGTAAACACCTTAATCATATTATTGTCTTATTCAGATTAAGCAAATAATTTGATTTCTGTGTCCACAACTAGCTTTCTAGTTATGACTTGTTTGTAGTGTGATCAACGTTTGGGCTAGTTGTAGATGTGTTTGGAAGCAACTCGTATTGTTTTAGTAAGATTTTAGTAAATTGAACGTAATGATTTGTTCATCTCGATGAACGAGACTCAAGGGTCCTAGTCAGTAGGTGCTTTCTACTTCAACCATGGGTGCAACTGGTGATTAACGAGATTAGCCGAGCGCAGGCGGGGGAGAAGTTGAAAATGTAATGTAATGTAATATAATGTAATGTGTATTTATATAGCGCATTTATTGTGTATGGCCGTACACCCAAATCACTTCACAATCATGAGGGGGGTCTCTCCACACCACCACCAGTGTGCAGCATCCACTTGGATGATGCGACGGCTGCCACAGGACAACGGCGCCAGTGCGCTCACCACACACCAGCTATTGGTGGAGAGGAGAGACAGTGATAGAGCCAATTCGGTGGAAGGGGATGATTGGGAGGCCATGATCGTAAGGGCCGATAGAGGGACTTTGGCCAGGACACCGAGGTTACACCCCTGCACTTTCACAAGAAGTGCCATGGGATTTTTAATGACCACAGAGAGTCAGGACCTCGGTTTAACGTCTCATCCGAAAGACGGCACTCACTGACAGTGTAGTGTCCCCTTAACTTTTACTGGGGCATTAGGACTCACACAGACCACAGGTTGAGCGCCCCCTGCTGGCCTCACTAACACCGCTTCCAACAGTAACCTAGTGTTCCCTAGTGGTCTCCCATCCAGGTACTGACCAGGCTCAGCTCTGCTTAGCTTCAGTGAGTAACCGGTCTTGGGCTGCAGGGTGACATGGCTGTGGCTGTGAAATGGAGCCGGACACTTCGGTGCTCAAAGTTGCAGCAGTCATGATGATCAATCACATGTCATCATCATCATTTTTAAAAATTTTTTAAATAAGAACAACAAAAGATTTACAATACAAATAAAACAATACAGTCTCTACAGACTATAGTTCATTTTTAAGCAATAAGCGAATTATGAATTAAATATATAACAAATGCATGAGAGAAATAAGAGGAAACGAGGGTAATATAAACAAAAACGAATAGCCTATTAAATACAAAGCAATAAGCATGAGTTTAAACATCACTCTAGGCTAATAATTCTTGAATATGCTTAAAGGAGGTTTACATTTATTTACATGTATAGATATAAAACTTTCCAAAATATATTAATGTAAAACCCAAAACAAGGTGTTTTGATTAAGTCTTAAACAATGATTAAGATTATTTTGGATAATAAAAGCATTTTCCTAATATAAGTAAGCTACACTTTAGCAAGTTACATCAATGTCATTTGTAAAACATGCATAAATGGCTAGACTGGAAATATTTAAGATGTGACTTTTATGAAAACTCATGATTACAGTACACCTTTCATAATTCTGTAATAAGTTTCATCTAAAGATGCTGCAAACAAATGAGCTCTCACATCCTCCGCTCGTTTTGCACCTGCACTGTGGAGAGCATCCTGACTGGCTGTATCACCACCTGGTATGGAAACAGCACCAGCAGCAATCGCAAAGGCCTACATAGGATTGTGCGAGCTGCTGGACGCGTAGTAGGAGGTGACCCTCCCTCCCTTCAGGACATCTACACCAGTTGGTGCATGAGGAAAGCCAAGAGAATTATCAGCGACTTCAGCCACTCAAGCCATAGACTTTTCTCTCTGTTACCCTCAGGCAGACAGCATCCGGTCACGCACTAGCTGGCTAAAGAAAAGTTTCTTCCCTCAGACTTTTAGGCTGACAAACACTTAACACACCCCACGCAGACTCTTCCATACCCCTCACTGCACACCATCGATATGTAGCATGCATTGCAATTTAACCAATTCATACTTGAAACAATACTGCCTACAACTATGCATAACCTATTCATTGTACATATCACTGTCAATTTTACATTGTCCTGTTTTTTTGGCAGTATGCTGTTGTATTTTGCTCTGTCTGTATTTTGCACTGTCATTGTATTTGCACTGTTACATCTGTATTTTGTACAGTCTGGAGCCAGCACCTAAGCTTTTTACTCATCATAGCACACGTGCTGCTGATGATGTGTCAATAAAAGTGATTTGATTTGATTTGAAACAGTGTAGTGCAAATCTTTGTTTTAAAATGAAGAAAACTTCAAGTTCAGACGACTTTCTGTGTGCAGGGGGTAGAAAGCACTGAACACTAACGTCAATTGAAACAGTTTTTTTTCTTAAAGCTCTCTTATAACTTAATTATTATCAAAATCAGGAGTCATGAACTACCTCGTTTTTTTATTTGTACTCTTCTTCTGTTTGTCTACTTATATTGTTACCAAGATTTCTCTATCAAAAACATCATAATTTTGAAATAATTGAGTATTTTTCTGAATTGTTTTTGACCCTAATCGGCAAAACACTGTTTAAATGGGCATGGTTGATTTAGACTCTGATTTAGACCCATTGTTCTGATTGGCTGACAGTTTTGCATATCAAAAGAGCTAAACAGGAAGTGAAGTACAAGTGAGCATCAACAATCATCATCATCATCAAAAGTCATTTAACTTGGCGGCCATGTTTGAAACAGGCATCAAATTCTATAAAATTGTTTGCTAAGTTTACGATTAAATATCATATCAGGAATCACCAATAACATTAAACAACAACTGTCTCTTTAGTTTCATTTTTAAACGTTCGAATCACACAAAATCAGCAGAAACTCACATCTGGTCTGATCCCCTCCCCCAGAGAATCATCAGTCTATATCGATGATTGGCTCCTGTGCTAGAAGGCGGGGCTTCATTCTCCGTTATGTATTTTATAGTCTTTGGCATCAATCATCAGTGGAGGCAAAGCTTATCCACTGGTTTTGTCAGACATCCTTTAAAATAAGCTGATATTAGAAGAACCACAATGTGTTGAGCTCTGAAACTTGCAGGATGTTTTTATAGTATTTTGAGATCTTATATGTCAAAATCAAGGAAACATCAAGGAAATTTTGGTTTCTTATCTCATCCCCCATTTAAACAACAGAGACATGCATAATGTCAAAGACTATAGAATACACAAGACATGTCACTTGTATACTTTTGAATAGGAAAAAAGAGTAACGGTCAATATGGCGAATGAAGAACAGCAGCCAATCATCGATTGTTATAGTCTGACGATTCTCTGCAGGAGAGGATCAGACCAGACGTGAGTTTCTGCAGATTTTGTGTGATTCGAATGTTTAAAAATTAAACTAAAGTTGTTTTTAATTGTATTGGTGATTCTAATATGATATTTAATCATTAGCTTAGCAAGAAATTTTGGAGAATTTGATGTTTCCCCATTCAAACACAATGTTGTGTTTGAGACCGAGAGATGTTTCAAAGATGGCTATCGAGTGAAATGACTTGCCTTAAAGGGAGCTGAGCGAGGGGTCGCAATGACCAGAAATGAGAACCACTGGTTTACAGTACCTCTCTAAAGGGAACATCTGAGGGATTCTGTGAATGAACACAGAACACGACTCACCGCGTCTCATCCACCATCGACCTTTAATGATCCTGTGGATGAGGACGTTCATCTTTTCTCGTAATCCCTTTAAGTCCCAGCAAGCTTCTCCCAGTTCGCTGTTTTTCCAAATCCACTGGCTCATCAGAACCTGCTCAACCGTGTCTTTACCTAAATCACCCTTGAAGGGAAAATGTAGGTTTAACGTGATGATATACTGAGCCTTTGGTGTTAGGTTGTGTTCACACTTGGCAGGTTTGACTAAAACAAACTTTTGTGCGATGGCTTTATTAGTGTAGGTTGTATGAATACGTATAAACGCTGCCATCCAAAACCTGGAGTGTACCAAATGAGCGGTCCAAAACAACTAAAAAGATGTCTAAATGAACTTAACTGAGATATGAATGCAACATATAGTGTAACGACATTTAAACAATCCAAAAAACAGGATAGCACAAGATGGGTCATGCTTAGCACAAAGCATTTTTAAATCTGTGAGTTTGGACTGTCAGAAATGGCAGTATGAGTGTTAAACAAACAATAGGACCAATGTTTTCTTTTGTCCAGATAAAACAAATAAGACAACAGTACCTTTAAGTGTGAACACACAACTTAAAAGTCCTCAACAAATCAAACACTGAATGAAGTATTCAGCATATATATTTTTAAATAAATGTATCTTCAAGATGTCTACTAAAAGTAAATGACATTCTCTTCTGATCTGAAATCAGCTCGCTTAAGCAATTTACACTCACCAGCCACTTTATTAGGTACACCTTACTAGTACTGGGTTGGACCTTCTTTTGTCTTCAGACCTGCCTTTGTGGGATAGATTAAACAAGGTACTGGAAATATTCCTCAGAGATTTTGGTCCATATTGACATAATAGCATCACACAGTTGCTGCAGATTTCTGAATGTGTGAATCTCTTGTTCCATCATATCCCAAAGGTGGTCTATTGGATTGAGATATGGTGACTGTGGAGGCCATTTGAGTACAGTGAACTCATTAGCCCCTTTTCACACAGACCTTTCCGGAAAATTACCAGCAATTTTTAGGAAAGTTCTGTATGTGTGAACAGGCCCTTTTTGAAAATACCAGTAAACTCTTAACGGCAATTTTCAGGAAAGAGAAGTTGTAACATTACAGGTAATTTGCTGCGCTGTGTGAATGCAGAGGGAAGATTGCCAGAAAGAGCGCGTGCACGTCTAGGACGTGCTGACGTAAGACGTCTAGAACAGTCAGACGAATTCACAGCCGAGTGGTTTATGAAAATAAAAACCTTTGAATATTTTTCAAGACACCTTTAGCTGCTAGATGTCAGTCAGATAACATTTCTATGTTCCTTCTTAATGCCAACTGTGTAAATAATTATCAATAAGATGCTTATGATAAGCCGTTGTTTGTTTACCTTCAAGTTCTGCTTCCTTCAGTTGCTTTGAGCATCGCGTGTGCCTGTGAAGCAGCCCGTGAGCGCCAGGCTGCCAGCACACACACATATCATGTACATCTCAACATGTGAAAGTGTTCCTCTATGTTTCCATCTAAGCTGTTCACAATACTTCTCCTCCATCCACAGAGTTTGTAATGTAGTCAAATGTTTACAAACACATTCTGATGTCAGAATTTATCGGTATTTTGGAGTGGATGTGTGAATGGTCTTTACCGGAACAATCCCGTAACGTCCTCGCCTGTGTGAACAGCGCTTTTTTGAACTTACCGGTAAAGTCGTTCTGTAAATTCTCTGTATATTTACCAGTCTCACTGTGTGAAAGGGGCTATTGTCATGTTCAAGAAACCAGTCTGAGATTATTTACGCTTTATGATATGGCGTGTTATCCTGCAGGAAGTAGCCATCACAAGATGAGTACACTGTGGTCATAAAGCAATGGACATGGCTAGCAACAATATCAGGTAGGCTGTGGTGTTGACATGAGGCTCAGTTGGTACTAATGGGCCTAAAGTGTGGCAGGAATATACCCCCAACACCATTACACCACCACCAGCCTGAACCGTTGATACAAGACAGGATGGATCCATGCTCTCATGTTGCTGACGCCAAATTCTAAGCTTGAATGTCGCAGCAGAAATCGAGACTCATCAGAGCAGGCAACGTTTTTCCAATCTTCTATTGTCTAATTTTGGTCAGCCTGTGCAAATTGTAGCCTCAGTTTCCTGTTCTTAGCTGACAGGAGTGGCACCCGGAGTGGTCTTCTGCTGTTGTAGCCCATCTGCTTCAAGGTTGGGTGTGTTGTGCGTTCAGGGATGCTCTTCTGCATAACTCGGTTGTAACTAATGCTTATTTGAGTACTGTTACCTTTCTATCAACTTAAACCAGTCTGGCCATTCTCCTCTGACCTCTGGCATCAACAAGGCAAATTGCGCCCACAGAACTGCCGCTCACTGGATATTTTCTCTTTTTCAAACCATTCTCTGTAAACCCTAGAGATGGGTGTGCATGAAAATCCGAGTAGATCAGCAGTTTCTGAAATACTCAGACCAGCATGTCTAGCACCAACAACCATGCCACATACAAAGTCACTCAAATCTCCTTTCTTCCCTATTCTGATGCTCGGTTTGAACTGCAGCAGATCATCTTGACCATGTCTACAAGCCTAAATGCATTGAGTTGCTGCCATGCAATTGGCTGATTAGAAATTTGCGTTAATGAGCAGATGTACAAGTGTACCTAATTAAGTGGCTAGTGAGTGTATTTTTTTTATTGCCTACAAAAGAAACCATTGTTATACAATGATTTACCTAATTACCATAATTACTCTAATTAACCCTGTTAAGCCTTTAAATGTCACTTTAAGTTGAATACTAGTATCTTGAAACATATCTATATCTAAAATATTATTTACTGTCATCATGACAAAGATAAAATAAATGAGTTATTAAAATTATTATGTTTAGAAGTCTGTGAAAAAAAATCTTCTCTCCGTTTAACAGAAATTGGAGAAAAAATATACAGGGGGCTGAAAATTCTGACTTCAACTGTACATCAAAAAAAAAAAGGAAAATTAAATGGTCACAACTTTACTTTCATGCAGACTTCAATAACAATGCTTGTGTTTTGTGCTTACCAGTGGTAATGATCTGATCTGCTGAGGTGAAAGTGTGAACAGAAGTCTTCCCACATGCTCGACATCTCCAACCGTCCATGTTTTTGGTTCTCTATTTCAAACCACAGAAACACTGTCAGATTCCCAGCAAAAAAAAGTAATTTGTATTTTGCTTGCACAACGCATAAACACAACATTTTGCAGCTGCTGTCAGAACAGAGAGGATGTCAACAACATGAAAATGGAATAAATTCGCCTCAGGTCTCACCCCAGCATGCTCTTCTCTGTAAGCAAAGCTGATATTTGTCGGAAGGTGTCAGAGGGCAGGCAATATTGTTTGAGCTCCTCCAGTCGCAGTTTCAGAGCATCTCTGTCGATGTCATCTAACACATCCCTGTCCAGAAAGGGCAGAAGAGGGCCGAGGATGTCCAAGGAGACTCCGGTGAGGCCATCATCAGAGATGCCCTTTAAAAAGATATTGAAGAATTGGATGAAAGCAGAACAAGAATGTGTTTTATCAAAGTCTGCAAAACCTGAGTGACATACATTCCTGTTCAAAAATGTAAAGTTGTGGGTTTTTTTACATTTATGCAATGATTGATACCTGAAGAGTTCAGATGTAAAAGCCTCTAAATGCCATCTGAAATGTTCGTCTAAAGATAGCATTTATTTTTTTCAGGTTTCTATGATCCGTATGTTCACTTTTATGGTAAAGAATATGTTCTTTCACAGCCTTTAAATTGAAATAACTGATCATAAATACTGGATGTTGAGTATAATGCAAATTTTAAAAGAAAATGTCGGACAGCACTTAAGAGGTTTTTGCTCTTCACTTGTACTCAGCACAAACGACAGAAAGTTACAACAGGGTGCCCAAACTTTTTCTTATAAATAAATAAATAAATAAATAAATAAATAAATAAATAAGCAAGCTCCAATATAAAGGCAATAACTACGACAAAGACAAAGCCCCTAACAGCCTTTCAAAGATCAAGTATGTATGTTTCAATTAATGCCCAGGTCTGTTGGAAAACGTCTGATTTCAACAGCAAATCTGCAATCATTTTCTCATATATATATATATATACAGTTGAAGTCAGAATTATTAGCCCCCCTTTGATTTTTTTTCTTCTTTTTTAAATATTTCCCAAATAATGTTTAACAGAGCAAGAAAATTTTCACAGCATGACTGATAATATTTTCCCTTTTGGAGAAAGTCTTATTTGTTTTATCTCGGCTAGAATAAAAGTAGTTCTTAATTTTTTAAACACTATTTTAAGGACAAAATTATTAGCCCCTTTCAGCAAATTTTTTTTTCAACTGTCTACAGAATAAACCACCATTATACAATAACTTGCCTAATAACCCTAACCTGCCTAGTTAACCTAATTAACCTAGTTAAGCCTTTAAATGTCACTTTAAGCTGTATAGAAGTGTCTTGAAAAATATCTAGTAAAATATTATTTACTGTCATCATGGCAAAGATAAAAGAAATCAGTTATTAGAGATGAGTTATTAAAACTATAATGTTTAGAAAAGTGTTGAAAAAAAATCTCTCCGTTGAATAGAAATTGGGGAAAAAATAAACAGGGGTTCTAATAATTCAGGGGGGCTAATAATTCTGACTTCAACTGTATATCTGTTTCGACCTCTGTGTCCATTCTGTCTTAGTAGGTTGGCGGGTCTTCATCCAGTTCACTGTATTTATTTTCCTAGCTATTATTAATAATATATGTACTGCAAATAGGTGAGACTTACTGAATTGATCAGGGATAAAGCCATCAAGCAGATAAAAATACTGGGTGGATTGGTATGTCATATCCTAAGACTCTTCTAATGTCCCTGTTAACCTCCTGCTAATACACTTGTATTTTGGGACATTCCCAAAATATGTGAAGGATGTCAATCTGATGTTTTGAAATCAAAGTAGTCAATTGATGTCAAATTGATTTGCATTTGTGACATGCTTTTGATCATCAAGTTGAACTGAGAGCAAACATGTGTTTTTTACAAAATATTTGCTGTTATTTCAACATTTTTTAAAGCAGTTTCCACAAAAACAATATTAAGCAACTCAACCTAATATTTTTAGTATGTTGTGAAATGTTTACCTTAACATAAAATCAGTAAGTTTTGTGAATGTGACACTAAAAAGCAACGTAATGGCTGCTTTTATAGAAACATTTTAATGTATAACATATTAAACAGAAAAGAAATAATATGTCTATGTCTGGTACAAGCTTAAAAATACCATGGTACTCCAAAATGTTTCAACTATTATACCCTGTTAAAAGTTTTATATTGTAGTAACATTTCACAAAGCTACTGTTTCCACTGTATTTATATCCAATGTGCTCATAAAGGATTCAGTGATGAAATGTTGAAGATCTGCAATAATTCCAGTCTTACGAGTACGTCAATAGCTTTCTCTGCCAGAGCCGTTTGTTTGTGTCGTGGAAGCTGCAGGAAGTCAATGAAGTGTTGTCGAACATGCTCCAGTACGCCTATGAGTGAGGAGTTAGACAGGTGCTCCATCATGGTCAACCTTTGAGACCAAATACAACAATAAGTCCCTGCAAGTAAGAAGAAGAGCAAAACAAACAAAAGGATTGTGGGTAGCACAGAATTGATCTCACGGTAAGCTTGCAGCAAATGAGGGGTCCAAGTCGTTCAGATCAATATCAGGCTGTTGCTGTAACTCCAACACAATGCATTTCCTCTGTGGAAACATAAAATTTGATGGAATCATAAAATGTCGTTGCATGTTTGATGCAGAGACACCAAAAGGGATTTTTTAGTAGGTGAGACATGCATTTTAATAATGAAACATTATTTCTCCACCAAACAATTTTGTGTTTAATAGATGTCTAATAGATTAGACAGACTTCACACCTATACTACCTGACAAAAGTCTTGTCGCCTATTTAAGTTTTAGGAGCAACAAATAATAACTTGACTTCTAGTTGATCATTTGGCATCAGAAGTGGCTTAAATGAAAGGCAAAGGCCTCTAGATTACGCTTATTTTACCAAAATAAAATATGATCATGCCTTGATTTTTTTAATTTTTATAATTCAACTTTTTTATTGTTCAACAGCAGTGGTGGAAAGAGTACTGAAAAATCATACTTAAGTAAAAGTACCATTACTTGCCTAAAAATGTTACACCTGGCTCAAGGATGTAACATAATGAGGGAGACGACAAGGAGAAGTATAATCAAAAAGAATATTTATTTAGCTCAATTTAAATTATATAATCAAAATATCAGTATCAGTATGTTCAATCAGTGTGAAATGCAAATGAATGGATGCTGTAAATGTTGTCAGTGATAATGTATGGATGCGAAACAAAGCATAAAGGCCAAATAGGAGCGCGGCTCTGGCCAACTGCCAAGTGAATGGACAGCGGCCCCGACAAACTCTCTGCCGGGGTTTAAATAAGGGCGCTGACCAGCATCAGGTGCGCTGAAGGCACGCCCCCAATCTGGAATCAAAATCAAAGACACAAAACAACAACGCAGTCCTAACAATGATCATGCCTTGATTTTTTTAATTTTTATAATTCAACTTTTTTATTGTTCAACAGCAGTGGTGGAAAGAGTACTGAAAAATCATACTTAAGTAAAAGTACCATTACTTGCCTAAAAATGTTACACCTGGCTCAAGGATGTAACATAATGAGGGAGACGACAAGGAGAAGTATAATCAAAAAGAATATTTATTTAGCTCAATTTAAATTATATAATCAAAATATCAGTATCAGTATGTTCAATCAGTGTGAAATGCAAATGAATGGATGCTGTAAATGTTGTCAGTGATAATGTATGGATGCGAAACAAAGCATAAAGGCCAAATAGGAGCGCGGCTCTGGCCAACTGCCAAGTGAATGGACAGCGGCCCCGACAAACTCTCTGCCGGGGTTTAAATAAGGGCGCTGACCAGCATCAGGTGCGCTGAAGGCACGCCCCCAATCTGGAATCAAAATCAAAGACACAAAACAACAACGCAGTCCTAACAATGATCATGCCTTGATTTTTTTAATTTTTATAATTCAACTTTTTTATTGTTCAACAGCAGTGGTGGAAAGAGTACTGAAAAATCATACTTAAGTAAAAGTACCATTACTTGCCTAAAAATGTTACACCTGGCTCAAGGATGTAACATAATGAGGGAGACGACAAGGAGAAGTATAATCAAAAAGAATATTTATTTAGCTCAATTTAAATTATATAATCAAAATATCAGTATCAGTATGTTCAATCAGTGTGAAATGCAAATGAATGGATGCTGTAAATGTTGTCAGTGATAATGTATGGATGCGAAACAAAGCATAAAGGCCAAATAGGAGCGCGGCTCTGGCCAACTGCCAAGTGAATGGACAGCGGCCCCGACAAACTCTCTGCCGGGGTTTAAATAAGGGCGCTGACCAGCATCAGGTGCGCTGAAGGCACGCCCCCAATCTGGAATCAAAATCAAAGACACAAAACAACAACGCAGTCCTAACAATGATCATGCCTTGATTTTTTTAATTTTTATAATTCAACTTTTTTATTGTTCAACAGCAGTGGTGGAAAGAGTACTGAAAAATCATACTTAAGTAAAAGTACCATTACTTGCCTAAAAATTTGGTGCAAGTAGAGTAAAAGTATCTGTTGTAAATATTACTCAAAGTATGAGTAAAAAGTATCCCTTTTAAAAGTACTCAAGAGTAGTGAGTAATGAGTATTACGCTGTAAAAAGCTGATGCATTTACATCTAGCTTGTGGATGTGTGTAAATGTAACATTCTGTAATTCTGTAATAGTTATTGCCCAGGAGGCACACAACATCATAAGAGGTTAATACTAGCTTAGATTTAGGTTTTTTAAGTCAGGCGATGGCGAGGCAGTGGTGCAATAGGTAGTGCTGTCGCCTCACAGCAAGAAGGTCGCTGGTTCGAACCTCAGTTCAGTTGGCGTTTCTGTGTGGAGTTTGCATGTTCTCCCTGCCTTCGCGTGGGTTTCCTCCGGGTGCTCCGGTTTCCCCCACAGTCCAAAGACATGTGGTACAGGTGAATTGGGTAGGCTAAATTGTCCATAGTGTATGAGTGTGTGTATAAATGAGTATGTGGATGTTTCCCAGAGATGGGTTGCGGCTGGAAGGGCATCCGCCGCGTAAAAACTTGCTGGATATGTTGGCGGTTCATTCCGCTGTGGCGACCCCGGATTAATAAAGGGACTAAGTCGACAAGAAAATGAATTAATGAATGAAAGTCAGGCGATTAAAATTCAATGTCTAGTCAGCGTCAATGGACTACGTTATTTTGATGTCAAATGATGTTGATATTTGGTCGATTTTAGGTTGTGTTGGAAAGTCACCAAAATCCAACATCAAGCCAACATCTTAAACCAACGTCATTGATGTTAGATATTGACATTTGTTTGGCAGGTATGGCAACCAACATCCAACGTCTGATAGACGTCATAGTGGTAACGTCCACACAACACCAAGCTGTAACATCATTAGACATTGATATTTGGTTGATTTTAGGTTAAACGTTGAACATTGATGTAGGCCTGACACTAAGTTCTGACGTCAAATCGATTTTCATTTCCAAACAAAATGCAACTTCCCCATGACATTAGGGTATAACATCTACCTGACCTCATGTTGACATCTTGTGCCTGCTGGGTGTTTAAGGCCATTTCGGTCATCATACAGTAAACATCCGCCATCTTCTCATCAGTGACATGCATCTTAACAGTCTCTGGGTCAATGCGTGTAAAGATTTTGCATATCTTCTTGGACACTTTTAATGCTTTCAAGCAGTTTGCTGCATTTATAAACCGCCCATGGCTTGAGGTAGTTCATTATGATGCGATTTACCTTCTATGTGTGATTTGATTGGACGGGAATCACAGGACTGATTTTTCTAATCCCCATAGACAAGAAAAAATAAAGTAGTGAGTGCAGGTTGAAGGAAAGTAGTGGAGTAAAAGTACCAATACCGCACTATAAATGTACTCAAGGGAAAGTAAAAGTACACATTTATAAAACGACTTAGTAAATTACAATTCCTGAGAAAAACTACTCTATTACAGTAGTTTGAGTATTTGTAATTAGTTACTTTACAACACTGTTCAACAGCAAAGAAACACTTCACACTACACATACATATGATACATGTTACATATTCAGCCACCCGTAACACCAGGCAAATTCTACTAAGAAAAACAACGTATAGCAAACATATATGGAAATGTAGGTTGCGGTACGTTTTGTAAGTACATACTAATTTATCCTAATCTTAGATGTTTCCAGAGTTTATCCCATTTGTACTTCTCCCTCATTGTTCAATTTCACCAGCATACACTCATACGATTTTCGTTGGGGCCGTGGTACATTGGACCAGCTCTATACCCTCACCAGGGTGCTCGAGGGTTAATGGGAGTATGCCCATCCAGTGCACATGTGTTTTGTGGTCTTGGACATCCAGTCTGTTGTGGTGAAGAAGGAGCTGAGCCGAAAGGCAAAGCTCTCGATTTATCTGGCCAATCTACGTTCCTACTTTCACCTATTGGTCATCATGAGTTTTGGGTCATGACTGAAAGGACAAGACCTCGGATACAAGCAGGCGAAATGAGTTTCCTTCAAAGGGTGGCAGGGCGCACTCTTAAAGATAGAGTGAGGAGCTCTGACACCCGGGAGGAGCTCGGAGTAGAGCCTCTGCTCCTCCACATCGAGAGAAGTCAGCTGAGGTGGCTCGGGTTTCGGATGCCTCCTGGACACCTACCTAGGGAGGTGTTTTTCAGGCATGTCCCACCGGGAGGAGAACTCGGGAAAGACCCAGGACTCACTGGAGGGACTATGTCTCTCAGCTGGCCTGGGAACGCCTCGGTATCCCCCCGGAGGAGCTGGAGGAAGTGTCTGGGGAGAGGGAAGTCTGCGGTTCTCTGCCCCCGCGACCAGGCCCCGGAAAAGCGGCAGAAAATTAATGAATGAACTCTCATACGATGCAATTTCAATCATCCCACTCTTTTTAATCCACTCTTTCATTTCTGGCATTCTGGGACACATCCAATCACGTAGTATCATTCTAGCAGCTGTAATTAGTCCAATCTTAAGAAGAATAAAGGAATTTTTACATATATTAGGTATCACTAGTTTGTCACCCAGAAGGCATAGCCGTAGCTCTACAGGTAACTCACAGTTTAGCCACTCCACCATTATTTTTAAAATTTTACACCAGAATGGGTAAACTAGACAACATTCCCAGATCCTGTGTAAATACGCACCCTCTTCTTTATTGCATTTCCAACACTGATTATTTACAGTTAGTTCCATACTATAGAGTCTGGATTGTGTGTAGTAGTATCTATTTATTATTCATGCCTTGATTTTTAATTTAATTAGGACAGTAAGGTCTGACTTTGCTAAGACAAAAGTCTTGTCAAACAGAAATAATGTACAGTATAGAATATAAAGTCATGCTGTAGTGGAAAAAAAAGTTATATTCAATGCAATGACTCAAATAACTTATTAATAAAGTCACCTGGAAGGGCAAAGAAAGCGTTCTTGCAGGACTCCCACAGTTCATTAAGATTTTAATCAGCTCTCTCACGCCCCCATACTGAATGAAAACCCCAAACCATGATTTGTCCTTCACCAAACATGACTGATTTTTGTGAGATTCTTGGGTTCATGCGGGTTCCAGTAGGTCTTGATTGATGGATGATTGGGATGCAGTCCAACACATGATTCTTCTGAAAAATCGACCTTCTTCCACTTTTCCAAATGATCAACTAGAAGTCAAGTTATTATTTTTTGCTCTTACAACTGGGACCAGCAATAAGACTTTTGTCATGTAGTGCAGTCATTTATTCCGGTCTTTTTGTAAACTAGTCCAGTTTTGGGATATTCTAAGATGTCCATTTGATTTTCACAGACAGCCCAAATTTTGCTTTGTTTAGTTGTCTATTAGATGTCTATTAGACTTCTTTTAAATACCAAAATTGCTTGCTGAGTTATTATTCTGCTACATTATTTAATCAAAACATTACAATCTCTGCATGATGAATTTACAGCAAATTATTTAATGTTAATACAAAAAAATGCCTTATATCTTACCAAACCAGGTCTAAGTCCTCCTGGTAACGCAGTGATGAACTGCAATAATTCAATGAAGCCCGAGTCATTTACCCACAGCATCAGCCATTCACAGCTCATCCCACCAGCAATACGACCTAAATCCCTTCAGTGGAGAAGAAACATATTTGACTGAATGTTATTAAAATTGAAAGCAATAGAATTGCAAAAAAACAGCATGCATGAATAATGATGTTCAGTTCCAGACTGTGATGATGCTGTTCTATAACAGGGTTTCGCAAAGTCCCAATTGATAGTTTTCACGTCGTCACACCAATAGGGAAAATCCCTCCCTGGGGGGCAAAAAAATGAACGCCAAGTCATTGGCTGAGTGATTTCTCTCTATTTTTAATCTGAAAGCCTGATAACTGTTGTGCAATAAAATACAGCATTACTAACTAATGAAGAGACACCGCTGGGCTTTGCTTCAACAGAATTCCCTCATAGAAGAACGGAGAATTGTATGGATTTGTGCCGAATGTCAGCTTCATTGACAGAATCATTTCAATCATCAGAATCATTTGTATGCATTTTATACATCTATTCTAATTTACAGGTTAAGTGCAATTAGAGTATAAATTGAAATGCAACGTCAAAGTAAAAATAGCAAAAATGAAGGAATGGATTTTCCCTACCTGCAAATATTAATCTAAGCAAAACAAACCAACACCACATAAAAAATCAGACACTAACGCTCTATAAAGCTGTCAATATAATGACTAAATCGCTGAGTAATATCCATAAGATAGATAAAAACATTGGCGAATTGTAGTTCTGACAGGTACACAAGGGTTTTAAATGACTGAAAAGCAGCTGCGGGTGCAATGTATGGATCGCAAGTACCCACAATTTACAGTTTGTGATTATTTATCTGTTTTGTTCTATTGATATGTGATCCACATATCCGTAGCTTGAAACAGATGGAAATATGACTGGATTGTGCAGTGTTTTAATGGAGATCTTAGTGTAGATCTCATTATAATTGAAAGGTCCAAATCTATAACTAAACAGGCACATAAATATATATAAAAAATTAAATGTATTTTAAATTTAATAATACATTAATAACAAGTACAAATGTGTAAATTTAAGAGGTTAATTTAAGTGTCAGCTATTTTTATTAAAAAACACAACCAGAGGTAAGTCCCCAGCAGGCACAGGGCATTGGCATATCCCAATGTCGTGGGGACGTTGGATTTTGTTTGGAAATAAAAATCTGGTTGACAACAGGTTCCAACATCAGGCCGACGTCAATGTCCAACGTCCAACCTAAAGTCAACCTAAAAGCAACTAAATTTCAACATCTAATCATGTTACAACTTGACATTGTGTGGACGTCACCACTATGACATCTATCAGATGTTAGATTTTGGTCACTTTCCAACACAACCTAAAATCAACACAATATCACTATAATTTGACATCGCTATTGGCCGTTTATCTTAGACGCTGGCTAGACATTGAATTTTGGTCCCCTGACATCATGGTCTAAGTCTAACCTAATATTAACGTCTTGAGATGTTGTGTGCCTGCTGGGTCATAAGTAACAAGGGGCATAAATACAGAGCAGTCTACTGTGAGAAATTGCACTGTCAGTTTTACATTTGTTGACTACCCTGCTGAAAAAAAGCTTGGTTAGATGGATTTAACAAGGGGATAGATTGCTTTTTTGAAGAGGGTTTTGGCCACTTCCAAGGTGGTCAGGCTAGGAGACCAGCTGGAATGACCAGGCAAAACCAGCTTTGTCTAGCTTAAACTAGCTAAAACCAGCCTGAAAGTTACTAAAACTATCTTGAAAATGGACAAACCCCCTCTAAAACGAGCCTGATAAACCAGAACCAGCCAACTATCTCAGGCCTATTTAAGCTGTTGTTGTTGTATAAATAGCAAAAGTGAAGGAATGGATTTTTCCCTACCAGCAAATGTTAATCTAAGCAAAACAAACCAACACCATCTAAAAAATCTAACACTAACACTCTAACACACGTCTAATCATGTTACATCTTGACATTGTGTGGACGTTACCACTATGACATCTATCAGACGTGTTATAATGTTGTGCCTGTTGGGTCATAAGTAACATTGGGCAATATTACACTGCAGTCTAATGTGAGAAATAGTGCTGTCAGTATTACATTTGCTTACTAACCTGCTGAAAAAACAGCTAAAACCATCTTAAGCTGGCTGCATGATTTTAACAAGGGGATGAATTGTTTTTGGAGGGGTTTCAGACTAGGAGACCAACTGGAATGACCAGGCAAAACCAGCCTGAAAGTGACTAAAACCATTCTGAAAATGGAGAAACCCCCTCTAAAACCAGCCTGATCAACCAGAACCAGCCAACTATCTCAGGCCCATTTAAGCTGTTGTTGTTGTATAAATAGCAAAAGTAAAGGAATGGATTTTTCCCTACCAGCAAAAGTTAATCTAAGCAAAACAAACCAACACCATATAAAAACTCAGACACTAACACTCTAGCATACGTCGTGGGGATGTTGGATTTTGTTTAGAAATAAAAATCGAGTTGACGTCAGAACCCGTCAGGCTGATGTCAATATCCAACATCCAACCTAAAATCAACTAAATATCAACATCTAATCATGTTACATTATGACGTTGTGTGGACATTACCACTATGACATCTATCACACGTGTTATAATGTTGTGCCTGTTGGGTCATAAGTAACATTGGGCAATATTACACTGCAGTCTAATGTGAGAAATGGTGCTGTCAGTATTACATTTGCTTACTAACCTGGTGAAAAAAACGGCTTAAACCATATTAAGCTGGCTGGATGATTTTAACATGGGAATGGATTGTTTATTGGAGGGGTTTCAGACAAGGAGACCAACTGGAATGACCAGGCAAACCAGCCTGAAAGTGACTAAAACCATCCTGAAAATGGAGAAACCCGTCTAAAACCAGCCTGATCAACCAGACCCAGCAGGCTTATTTAAGCTGTATTTTTTTTTTTTTTGCAAACTTTTGCTTCTTTTTACTATAATCACACAGAACAGTTTTGTGCTGAATTGGGGCTGAATTACTGTATACCTCTCTGTTTAATCATCTTTGAAAATATTTTACATTATTTTAATCTCTTACACACTGTAAAAAATCTTGCTGTGTTTAAGTTTTTAGATTTTTTTTCTAGTCATCTCAATTTACATCAATCAAACTGACTAAAAATAAGTTCGGTTAACCTTTGTGCAGCTTAAAAAAATGTAGTTGAAACCTGGTGAACTTATTACAATAATATAAAAAGAACCAAATGATTTGTTGTCTTGACTATTTGTCATTACATTTGTTTCAGTGTGCACAATTACAGTAGTGCTCTTAAATACAAAATGGAGGTGGTCCGGATTGAATTCTCCACAGGTCTGGGGGACTTTGAGAAACCCTGTTCTGTAGTATATCAAACTACATCTGCTGCTAGTCTGAGAGTCAACAAACATAAAGTATAATAATGCTTGATATCACTTACAGTATTGACTCTCTTGTGATGTTTACAGTCCGCTGAATTATCTTGAACAGCATTTGAGCCTGTTGTGTCAAATACAACAAGTGAGTCTGAGAAACTAGATCGTCCTCAAGGTAGTATCTGATACACTTTTGGCTGAGACAAAGTCTCTTTAATGTGGGTGATAACTAATTCATATTGCCTGGTGGAGGCTATTGTACCGCATTAAGATCAATTTGCTTGATGGCAGTTGAGGGGCTCGGATTATTAATTTGCTGAAAGGTTCTTTCATAGCATGACAAAGAATCCACCAAAGAATTTGAGATCTGCTTTGTCTGGCAAGCGCAGTACAGGGCACTGAATGTAATGTACATTGTGCAAACACTGAATGGCCAATGCTTCCATGGTTTCTTGGTCATGCTTATGTGCAGTTTAGGGGAAATTAAGAAATATATGAGAAATCAAACAATCATATATGTTCATTTGCAATTATCATTAACAATAAGGAGCTCCACGATTAACAATTGTGGAGCTGTGCATTAGTGGATTTGCTCTTCAGTGTTTGGACTTTCAGCAGTGAAATTTAAACCAGACACAGTCTACACTGTAAAAGGCTATAGAAATAAACATTAATCGAATAAAGTCTGTCACTGAACAGCATTGGCTGAAGACTTAAGGCTGATTTATACTTTCGCCTGACAACATGAATCACCACTGAGTGCGCGTGCACCTCACGAAATGGACGAGGCTTTTACACTTGACACGTTCGTAGTTAAGATATTCTTTAAAATGACAGGGGGGAGTCCCACCGTAAAAATCAAACAAGTAAGCATACACAGCAAACTCATTAGTGTAATTTAGAGTAAAGTGCTGAAATTCTAGAGTTAGATAAATATAAAATAACCCTCTGAGTGTTAAAAGATGATTTGCCTCCTTGTCATGCAGACTTACAATTATCTAACGCTAATACAGTGTTGACTATTACATCCGGGAGTTTATGCAGCAATAGCCCTGGAGGATTTTCTCAGACGCCATTTTCTTTTGCCACGAGGAGCATTGAGAAGAAGCAACTGGCGAGTAAAATTACTTGTTATGCTTGTATATAGACATTTGATATCCAAATCGTTATAAATATCTCACAAAATAGCCTCATTTTTCATCTTTATTTTGTTTGTACTAGCTATGTTACATTAAAACTAAAGAAAATAAAGCTGTATTAAAACTGCTCCTTTTGGTTTAAAATACGAAAAAATACGGTCTGTGACTGTTTTGAATTGTTTTCCTTAAACATTAACCGAATAGTTAATAAAGTGTTGCCGATGTTAAACAAGATATGTTTTTTATTTCTGTGCGGTGTTGAAAATTTGATCTAAGAGTGTTAACACATAACACTGAGTGGTGTTCATATGATCCTCTGTGGTGTTAATATTTTACACCATAAGAGTTTGCTAATTAACACTCTCTGAGTGTTGATAATGTTAGCTCTTTCAAACGTGTTATTTTAACACTTTTATAGTGGTTCCCATATAAACTCTGAGGGAGTGTTATTATAAACTCAAAGGTATTTAAATCTACTATGTAAAACTTGTAGTTTAGAAGTTGGAAGTTTACGGAACTATGTCATTACTATTGTTCAATATTTTTTAAGGTCCCACTTTATATTAAGTGTCCCTAACTACTATGTACTCACATAAAAAAAATACAATATACTTACTGTGTTTATAATGTATTTGAGAACACTTGAGTTGGAATAGAGGTTTGGTTATAGACAGGTTTGGTGGCATGGGTAGGTTTAAGGGTGGGTTAAGGTGTAAGGGATGGTCAATAATGTACTTGCAAAAGTTAATTACAGATGTAATTACATACAGGTATTTAATCAAGCATAATTACACCGTAAATACATGTATTTACACAATAAGTACATTGTAACATACTATTAATTCCTATGTAAATACATATTAGTTAAGGCCGCTTAATATAAAGTGGGACCTTTTTAAAATATTTTTATAAATTATTTTAATGATTATGAAGATTTTTTATAATCATTCAAGACTTTTTAAATCAAACTTTGATACATCATTTGCTTTTTTTCATATCCCGGACAGTTCTTCCTATTAAAGTTGATATTAACATATTAATGACAACAGAACATGGGTTGCTCTACAAATATATTATTTATTATGGCAAGAATAAAAGCAAACAAAAGGTACACTTACTAAATAATACTAACATTTTTTTTTTTTGATTTAGCTCGCTCCACAATCCACACATTACTGTCTGGCTGTATTTCGTGTCCTCTTCTTGTATTCTAAGACAGGGGTGCCCAAACTTTTTCTTATGAAGGGACAAAAACTAAACTTGATTGAGGCTAGTGGGCCAAGGATACACATAGTTTCCATGGGTAATTTCCTCATTTATTTAATATTTTAATATGACAAGAATACATTGCTTTATATTAACTAATACAGTAAAAAACGATACATTTATAACTGAATTACACTAGTTTTTGTCTTGATTTGCTTATTGATGTCTACTACATAGTACTTTATCTGTCGAGAGACAGTATTTACATTTTAAAAACTCAGATTCATTTACAACATTTAATTGAAACGTTTAATTTCAGTTAGCTTTTTTTGTAGCTCAGCAATAAAACTAACAAAAACGGTTATGTCAAATTAGAAACGAAGTCCTCTGTGTTAAAGGCATTCACCCCAATGCTCTCTCTCCTCTCATCAAAGCCTATAAAAATAGGCCATCAGTATATCGTAAACTTATAGGTTTAAATATTCCTTTCCAGTCATCAAAGAGAACATTTGTTCCTTTTCACTTTGTAACTATTAAATTGCTTTAAATTCAAAATGAATGGTGAAAAAACCTATTTTGGTAATTGTGTATTGAAACCACCTGGGTCTCCATTTTTGCCATGGCGTCTCTTTTTGGCTTTAACAAATTTGCCCCTCAAGTTATTCCAAACATTTATAAAAACTGGTCTCACTTTATTTTGATGGTCCCTTTAACATATTTTTTTGAATTTAGGTTACATTGCATTTACATGCCAACTAATTCTCAATAGGTCATAATTATAGGTCTGGGTTCGCGTTATGGTTAGTGTAAGTTGACATGTACTTGCAAAGTTTCTGTCAGTTGAAGAAATGTCTGTTGAAGAAGCAGTAACAGTATAAAGCAAAGAGTCTACTAATACTCAAATGAGAAGCGACTGGCATGTAGTTGCAGTGCAACTTTTAGTTGAACAATGTGCAATAGTGAACGTCAAAATGAAGTCTTACCCAAAAACTTTCTTCCTTTCCCACAAAATTCTTGCCATTTCTAGCCAAGAATTATTGGCCATCTGGTTATCCCTATGATCACACATGGATCATAAAGATGTCTGTACAGTCGTATCTGTTTCAGACAAAATCTCTTCAAAGTGATTCATACTCAAATGAAATGCGGCGACGCATGAACTGTTCACTCGAGTTTCAAAAAATATTGTACACTCGGCCAACCGAAATCATGTTACGCGCACCCAAAGCAAATCTCCACTAACTTCACAATGACGTCACAGTCACCGCGCACTTAAGCAAACTAGCGGATGCATCAAGTATAAATCAGCCTTCATATAGAAAAATGTATGCTTTTGTACATGTTGTGCAACAGCTAGGCTTTACTCCACACAGTTCTAATGTGCATTCTGACAGATAATTCTCATTTCTTAAAAAGACATGCAAAAAATCTACAATAGAATCACATCGATTAAAAATATTGCTTACTTTAAATATTCTAAAAAGTCCTTGATGTGCAGCAAAAATGTGACTATGCCTCAACATTACGTGATTGGAGCCAGCCGATCAATTTGAGAGCTCACTATTTCCAAATGCTGCTTTATTTTTTACTAAATAATTTAGTTATTCATATTTAATTAAGTAAATGACGTCTCAGAGGTGTCCTCTGTGCTCAAGCCATGCATTATATATGAACCAAAAAAGATCTACAATGGTTTCCCAGGGTTTATTGCAAAAGTCATTCATTATATATGAAAAAAGAGCTACAGTGGTTTCCCCCGTTGCATTTTTAAAAATATATATATTTTACTGGTAATTTAAGACATGTCCAAGAAAGTCTGGATTTCTAAATCACATTAGAGCTTTATTTCCAAATTATTAATGTCATTTTTTATAAATTTGCACGTTTTGATGGACATGTGGCCGGTGACAGTGTGTGAGCAAGAAAAAAGCAAGCTTGCCAAGAGAAAAAGTATGAAATTAGGGTTGTACCTGTTGATGAGACCAGGGCATATGCTTTAACAGAGATATATGTTGAAGAACTGCCTCGCCATCTAGATCTGACATTATTTTCTTCAAGGAGACGAATGGTACAAGGCATTGCAGCTGCTGGGTTACATTTGCAGAAATGCGTTCCAGAGCCTTAAAACAAACAGTGTGCCGTTTGATTTTCCAAATCAGATCTAATGCACGAGTACAAATGCTGACTGATTTGTAAAAACATACCTGTTGGAGAGCAAAATGGACCATCGCTCGATGAGCAGGACGCAGATTAGACAGCAGGGAACTCCAACAATGACAATCAAGTGGAGTTTCAGATACGAGTAAGTTTTTCAAGAAAACAGGGTCCAGACCCGGAAACAATGGCTTCAATCTGCAGAGCGTGTTGGCACTGAACTAAACAGGATTGAAACTGTAAATACAAGACCCTGGCTGTGTTTACACCTGGGATTAAGATGCATTTTCAATAAACCGATAATAAGTTTAGATGACAATAAATACTGGTGTAAAAGCATAGCAGTGTTGGGTAAATTACTAAGATTATAAGTAAGTTACTAATTAAATTAAGTTACTTTTCGAATTTATTTGACTGAATCAAACAACTATACAATTAATTAAATCAACATGCATATAAAAAGTGTAGTGCAAATATTTATAGCCCTTTATTAACCATAGGCTGTTAAACAAACAGAAACAGTTGGACGTGATGACGTCAGTAATATGCAAATTGACATATGACGTCATTTAGCGACATTTAGAGACTTCTTAAACAGAGCTAAAATTATTTGACGTGTTTAACATCTTCTTATGTAGCGCTTTGGGTTTAAGAAAAGTGCTTTACAAATAAAAATCATTATTATTATTGTTACGATGGAAGTTTAGTTATTATTGCAAATTGCATGTCTTTTTCTTTGTCCCGCCTTCTTTTAGTTTTTCTGTTATCCCATAGGCTCCCATGCCGGTATGATCCCGTGTTCTGATTGGCTGCTGGTCTCGGAGGCCTGTATAAAACGGAGCTTCCAGCAGGGTTCGGGGAGCTCATTTGTGCTGCGTTCGGTGCTGGGAGTGGAGCTCGTGGATTTCCCTTACCCCTTTGGCCGACGACCAACAATCAATTTTGTACTATTGTTCATACGTTAACCTATTTTGAGAGTTTGAGCGTGTAGGGGTGGCCTGCCTATTTATTTGATTACTTTTGACTATGTTTACGTTTGGGGAAAAAGGTAAGCTTCCTGTATTTTTCTTTAAATAGTAATAGGTAATTTAGTGCATTTACTTTATAGATTCTTCTGTTTGTTATTTTGGCCTGTGGTCATCCTGAAGAGATGCTCATTTATATTTACTAAATTTTAATAAATCTGCTGGGTTAAATCTATTCATATACTCTCAACTGAGTGTGTGAGTGTGGTTTTCGACCGAAGGGAATCTTTTGCATTAAGTTTTTGTTTTGTTTGGGAAATCCACCACCCCAACACATTTGTTTTCTTCGTTTATTATGCCCATGTTGTTTTCCCCTAGACTTGGGGCGTAATATTATTATTATTATTATTATTGTTATTATAATTATAGTAATCCCTTGATTGATTTTTTTTTTCAGTATAAATGTTATTTAATTGCAGTAACTAGTTCCTTTGTTAACTATTTACACCCAACACTGGTGCTCAGAGAGTGAAGGATCTCTATGAAATCTAAACTCAAGTGACCTAAAGAGACGCATTTAAATTCATGTTAATAGCAGGAGGAAACAATGATGCATCTCAGCTGAAAATGTGGGATCGGATCACTGAAAATGCATGTTAATGCCAAGTGGAAACAGGGCCTCACTTTAGAGAAGTATCACAAATAGAGTGGTATACTGCTTACATTTGTTGCTTCTGCTATTTTGTTGAGTATCTGAAATGCCTGCATTCAAAGAAATGGGAAAGGGCATTACATGACAGGTCAAATCAAGCAAAATACTTTCACTCTCCATTTATAAAATCATTCTGTCAGTGTTTTCAGACTTGACTTTAGCACAGTGGACTCTTTTCATAGCCTGTGTTTCCACACTTTTAGGGTTTCTTCACATCAGTAAACACTACAAATCCCAATTCAGGCTCTAAGGCAGCCTTTAATGTTTCTCTTGACAAACTGTTTTTGTCAAGTTAAAAGAATCCTATTAGAAGATGCAACATAAATCTCAGGAGTCCCCAGAATGTGTCTGTGAAGTTCCAGCTCAAAATGCCTCACTGATTTTATTATACAATGTTTAAAGGGGTGGAAGAAGAAAAAAGTGTTTTGTAAGTGTCTCCTTAAATGCAAATGAGCCACTCCTTTCCTGTAGTGAAGGTGGAGCCAAAAACATGCACTGTAACAAATGCGGGGCTCCACACAATTCCTTCATGCTGTCCCAACACAAATTGATTTAAGTGAACTTTATCGTTTTTACAAACTTGAGTTGGTTGAACATAAAAATTAAGTTGTCCCATAAACATTAAGAATTGAGTTGTTTCAACTTATTTTAAATAGGTAGTTTGAACAAGAAGAGTTTTTGAGTGTGCACTTTAAACGCTTTGTCAGTTTAAACGAGAGCCGTGGAACCAGACCAGATGTCTTGCGGCGCAGGAATACATTTCTGAATAAAACGTGATAGCAGTCAGTAACTCTGGTGTACTTTGAATTGGAGCAAGCGTCAGTACAGCGCTTCGAGTCGCGACGTTAATTCAGAACAACATATCTGTAGATATGTTTCCATCCAAAAATACTGGATTATCGCATAAAAGATGTGAGAATAAAGCAGTGACTTTTACCAAACAGATCTAAACACGAGAACAGATCTACTCCAACAAGTCAAAGAGAACAAAATCGTCACTTTTCTGATTATCTGGTGCCAAATATCAACAGTAAAAACTGAATTTGCTGTGGTAGAAGAAGCTGCGTGATTCTTTTCTTCATCGAATTGAATGAAAAACTTGTGCCTCAGAAGGCAATCCTGACACACAGTGAACGCGCAGTGGCGTTTGGAGGCGTGAGACACGGAGCAGAGGCGATTTTGATTCTGGAGGTAATTAATAATAAAATAACACTAATACTGAAATGGTTAAGGTGTTTAAGAATGACCAAAACAACATTTCAGATGTTTTACGTTGATCTCTTATAACAAAATCACATGACTTTTTTAAATGCGCATACAGGAGTTTGTTCGGTAAAAGTGTTTCCATCACAGTTTCTCTCAGTTATGCACAGTTTTTATGCCCATTTTCAAAATGTATGCGCATCTTGGCGTTTTCATCAACAGTTTTTTTATACGCATATCCAAATGTGCAAAATATAGATGGATAGAAACCTAGCTTGTGATTTCCTCATTCTTATTGAGCACCGATACAGCCAGTGCTCACAACTGTTACACATGCTGAAGGCATGACCAGTGCTTTCTGCATGTGTGTTTTATTCGCAGTCTGTGCGTGCTTCATCTGCATAACGGTCCTCAGAGCAGGTTTACCAGCATGGCAGAACAAATTGAAGATGTGCTGTCCTTCAGCTTGCATTAGAAAACAGTCAGTTTACTGTTAGGAAACCCACATCAGGCAAGTCTCATGTACAGTATGGGAGACTTTTTCAGGCGTCATAGGCGCAAATGTAAAATAAAATGACCCTTTGCGCGATGTGATAATACCTCAAAGTTTTCCCCTATAGCAGTCAGAGGACTGCAACATCAGGTTTAAGGCAGTACTCATGTCTCAAAACTCACATTCAGCCTACAATCCTTGCACAACCTACAATTTTATCTGGTATCTCTCTCTTTTGGTAGTGCCCAATTTAAACATGAGATTTTTTGAAACCAGATCTAAAACAGTTGGGTAGAAAATGTTTCTAAGCGGGCAGGGGGTGACTAAAGGATGGATATATGGCGGGAGCAGTCGGGTGCGGAATAAAACCTTGCGGAAGCGGGACTAAAAAAATGAGTCGCACACAGACCTCTAGTTTAAACTCCTGATTTGCATTTTCTAAGCGCACCGATAAGAAAGCACATGAATATTTTACTGAAATAAAATATGCTTTTTCAAATACTCAAAAGTTTCTTACTTTGTGCTGAGAATGTATTTGTTCAAACAACAGCATTGCAAGAAAGAAACTTAAAAGAGTCAGAAAGCATTATGTGACCCATTTTTAAAGATGTGAATTTTACATCCATACATATAATTCTGCATTCTGTTCATATCTGCGAACTAAATTGGACTGAAAATTATTTTCAGTTTACTTCTGAATATTGCATAGCCCTGCATTGTAGTTCTCCTACCTGCGCAGGTGGGAAAGCTGGGATATCCGGTAGAGTTACCAGATCCAGCAACTTGTTTGAGGACAGCGGTTCCAAAAATGAAGCACCCATTTGCGGCAGCATACCATGCAATGAGCCCATTAATGAAGCTGATAGGATACTGGCATTTAGAGATTTAAGAGCTGTCCCAAGCCAGTGTGACAACTGTGTGTAAAGGAAACCTACATTAAAAACACTTTCAAAATACTGTACTTCATGTTAACTCAAAAATGAAGGCTTACTCTGCCATTTGCGCTGACATGTCCCTCTGATACACATTGAGCCAGCTGCTGCCACAGGACGGGTGAGAGATTTGATGAAGACAAAAGGTGTTGTAAGTCTTCAGAGTTCACGTAACATATAAGACCTCCTAACCTATTGTGAGAAACATTGTATTTGGTCAAAACTCAATATGTAAAGGTCAAATGTTATTGAACTTGTGCTTGTACCTCATTATGTTGTCGCTAGTCAGGTTCTTTCCCCTGCCGAAGACGGTACGAAGTACATGGCGCCCCCTTGTGGCATCCAGACTGCTGTTCCCCAACATCTCCATTAACGGCATGAGCTGTAGGTCAAACATTCTGATGCTACTTTTAGAAATTCTTCAAAAATGTCATTGTCTTGACTTGTGCAAACCTTTTATCTGAAATAATTTTGTATTCTCAAAGTTTGAACCTAAACACATATAAAATCAACTTAAACAATTTTCTCTGGGTCTGGCAGGAGCACTTTTAATAAAATCATAAATCATTGAATCAGATTATACCATTAGCATCTCACTCCAAAAAAGTTTTTAATATTTAAACTTGTCTACTCTGTAGTTACTCTGTGTACTAAAGGCAGACAGAAAACTATCGATTAAAAATGCATGTTTTTTATCATTGTACCTGCTGCAGCCATGGTATGGCAGCAAAGTTTCTTGATTGTTACACCAGAATGAATTCCTATAGACCTAAAAATATTGACTCTTTATTTTCCATCAGTCTACATACACTACGTAACTACAGAAGAGTCAAGCTTCAAATAGGAAAATTAAGGCAAATTTGTGAGTGAGATGCTAATGGTCTAATCTGGTTCAATGATTTACGCTAAGCTAAGCTAAAAGTCTTTTCTCTAGACCAGGTGATTGGTTGAAGGGATTCAAAACGGTAAAACTCAAATATTTAGAGAACATGCCCACACTACCTGACAAAAGTCTTGTTGTTGATGCTAGTTATAAAAGCAATAATAATAACTACACTTCTATTTAAACATTTGGAAAAGTGGCAGAAGGTCTGATTTTTCAGATGAATCATCTGTTGAACTGCATCCCAATCATCACAAATACTGCAGAAAACCTACTGGAACCAGCATGGACCCAAGAATCTCATAAAAATCAGTCAACTTTGGTTAAGGGAAAATCATGGTTTGGGGTTACATTCAGTAAGTGGGCGTGCAAGAGATCTGCAGAGTGGATGGCAACATCAACAGCCTGAAGACACTTGTGCTGTCCATTACATTACAAACCACAGAAGAGGGCAAATTCATCAGCAGGATAGCGCTCCTCCTCATACTTCAGCCTCCACATCAAAGCTCCTGAAAGTACAGAAGGTCAAAGTGCTCCAGGATTGGCCAGCCCAGTCACCAGACATGAACATTATTGAGCATCCCTGGGGTTAGATGAAGGAGGAGGCATTGAAGATGAATCCAAAGAATCTTGATAAACTCCAGATGACTTTATTAATAGGTTATTTGAGTCATTGCAGAGCATTATTAATTCTTTTTCCATTGCAGCATGACTTTATAGTCTATATTGGACATAATTTCTGTTAAGTCACAAGACTTTTGTCCAAGCAAATTCAGACCTTACTGTCCTAATTAAATAATTAAAAATCAAGGCATGATCTTATTTTATTTTGGTAAAATAAGCGTAATCTAGAGGCCTTTACCTTTCATATAAGCCACTTCTGATACCAAATGATCAACTAGAAGTCAAGTTACTATTTGTTGTTCCTAAAACTTAGATAGGCGACAAGACTTTTGTCAGGTAGTGTATATTGTACATTGTTGACAGATGAAGAAACAGTTTATATCATCTACAGCAAAGTGGGCGATAATCTAAAGCATTACCATTGTTCCTTACCTGCTGTGATGTGAGTTGCTGAAAGTGACTGACTGGGAGATGTGGAAGAAGAGGTTGAATGGAGCTGAGGAAATATGGAGGCCACGAAGGGACTTCTCCAGCAACACTGGACTGCAGCAGGCGTTTTACGAAGGCTTGCTTTTGTAGAGACTTCATCTCAGAGCTGTGATCGCTTATGGCCAGCAGTCTGGTGAACATGAGTGTGAATCATTAGCATATACAGTTGAAGTCAGAATTATTAGCCCTCCTGAATTATTAGCCCCCCTGAATCATTAGCCCTCTTGAATATTTTTTTCCCCGATTTCTGTTTAACGGTAAAAAGATTTTTTTCAACACATTTCTAAACATAATAGTTTTAATAACTCATTTCTAATAACCGATTTATTTTATCTTTGTCATGATGACAGTAAATAATATTTTATTATCTATTATTTAAGACACTAGTATTCAGCTTAAAGTGACATTTAAAGGCTTAACTTCGTTAATTAGGCAAGTTAGGATAATTTGGCATGTCAATGTATAACAATGGTTTGTTTTGTAATTAAAAAAACCTAAGGGGGCTAATAATATTGACCTTAAATTAAAAAAAAAAATCAAAAACTGCTTTTATTCTAGCCGAAATAAAACAAATAAAACTTTATCTAGAAGAAAAAATATTATCAGACATACTGTGAAAATATCCTTGCTTTGTTAAACATCCTTTGGGAAAAAAATAAATAAAATAAAATAAAAAATAATAATAATAAAAATCACAAGAGGGTGAATAATTTTGACTTCAACTCTACATCACATGGAGAATAACCTAATGTGGAGACTGATGAAGTGTTAGTAAGATCCACTTACACACTTTCATTGACCATGAGAGAGGCGGGGAAGGTCATGATGTCAGAGACGGACATGTATGGTATAAACTGGGAGAGGTCGATGAAAAGCTCAGGTGTGACTCGGGGAAACTTGTGGATGAAAGCAGCGGTCATACTTTCCATGGCCTCTTGTTCCTTTGGAGAGGCCTGTGAAGGAAACAAGTTATGCTTATAACCTGCTGTTTAAAATCTCCTTTGGGAGGCTAAGACTATTGCACAAACCTATCTATCTAAAAGGTATGAAGCCAGTGCAGGGCCATTACTCTTGGGTGAACTATACCTTCAACATACAAACAGAAAATATGGGAACTACGTACACAATATTAAGAACTAAATTATTTTTGAAATCAAAAGACTAGCCTCAAATGTCTGTGATTAACCTCTTTAGAACCAAGCAACAGCTTGAACGTTGTTGTTGAGCCTTTTCTAAAATTATATGCAAGTATATCATTATAATATCAAACATGTTTCAGCCTTTCTAGAAGTTCTTCCTTGGACTTAGCATGTTCTAGCTTTCTTTTTTTGCCCCAGATAAATCTCAAACTGCCTATAATATTGCCTATATAATATTCAGGTCTGGACTCTGTGGAGGCCATTTCATCACTGCCTTTGTTTCCTCAGCTGTTTTTCTCTCCAAATAAGATTTTGTTGCATTAGCAGTGTGTTTGGGATTATTATCAGGCTGAAAAAACTTTTACAAATTAGGTGTCCTGTTTACCTGTATAGTTTCCACGTGAAGTTGATCCCAGCTCTGATGAACATGGGACAGAAATCTTTTCACAGCATCTTTCTCTGCGGACAGAACCACACTGCGAATGCTCTCTCTGGGCATTTGTAGATACTCCTAAAGCAAATGAATATTGACATTAGATATTGACAAACGTATCATATCATTATCATAACATATTAATTATAACATGGAAAGTGCTATGAATATTGTTAATATGTTCTGTTTATATTGAGCTTAACTCAAGGGCTTTTAAATTTGGTCATGCAGCATGAAGCAAAAGAGTGTGCAAAACAATGTAAAGAACTGTTTCATATATATATATATATAGATTTTTTTTTTTAAGGGATGGTTCACCCAAAAATGAACATTCAGTCAGACGTTCAGTGTTGAACACACAAAAAAGGTATTCTGAAGAATGTTAGAAACCTGAAGCTATTGACTTCAATAGTATGAAAAACAAACAGTAAGCCAATTGTTACCAGTATTCAGGGGTCACCACAGTGGAATGAACTGCCAACTATTCCAGAATATGTTTTACTCAGCGGATGCCCTTCCAGCTGCAACCCAGTAGTGGGAAACAGCCCTACACTCTTGCATTCACATGCACACACATACACCACGGCCACACTATGCAACCACATCAGGGTGTCAGAATCCACTTTTGCTATTTTATGGATGGAAAAATTCGTTTTTCACCGTGGTACATGGTCTAACAGGGTTGAGCTTACTCTCTTAATGAGTTAAAGGTGTGTTTTGAGAATAAACCAATCAGAGTCTTATCTCCCATTCCCTTTAAGAGTCAGTTGCGTCGTGCCATGGCACATTTGCTATGTACATGGACTGAACACTTCACTAGAGAGAAAACAGTTAAAGAGAGCATCTGCAGCACGAGAATGAGAGATGAGCCTCCTCATTCTTTACTTTCACATTCACTCTCATGGATAAGGAAATGTGTTGTACGCACAGAGATCCATTAGCCTATACATAATTAATTTCGTTTGTTAAGCGCAAAGCTTTGTTTCAAAACTATTTCTAAATTCAGTTTTAGTTTCCAGCAAACAAATAAATGAACAATAATATCGAAGTGTGTTCAAAAAACTGAGTTATATCCAAACACACATGCCCCATATGGTCTAAAACCTGACAGGTGGGCAAATCTAAGCTTTTTTTTAATGAAACAAATATAAATATGGATATAATAAGTAATACTGCTAATAATAATAACATTAAACAAAAGCAAATTGTTATGAATAAATAAACTGAAAAAGCCCAACGAGATGAAGAAGGCATGAAGGCGGTGGTTTTATAATAGGGCCCATTATGTTGAGAAATTTGTTAAAAAATATCCTCTTCCAGAAATTGGAGGAGAAAATATTCAGGGGGGCTAATAATTCAGGAGGGCTGATAATTCTTGACTGTATCATCCAGATACACCTTTATATTTAACAAAAATACTCCCTAACCAGGAGATTTTCATATCACATCTCTTCACCGTCAAAAACCTTCCAAACCTCTTGAGCTTAACTCGCTAGATAACTGAGCGTTGGGAAGAATGAATTATACCTGCATTAAAAATCTTAACGCGGAAGAGTTTCCCTCCCTCTGAATGAGGTCCCACAGGACAGGCTGCTGAGGAGAAAAAGCCTTTTTAAATTGAATGCGTCAAACTGTGCATGATAATATAACACAACACTAGCAAATGCACTGTAAAAAAATAAAACTGTTAATTAACAGTTATCCATTTATTTACGGTAGTGAGTTGCTATATGGGACCTTGATCTCAGCTCTGTCGACTATAATGTTGAAAATTCAACTCTCCAGTTTAACAAATTGACTTTTATTGACATTTTAGTCATCTGAATAAATATCATATTTAATAAATAATATATAGAGAAATAAATCTGCAAAATAACAGAAAATGTACTGGCAGCTTATTACAAGGATTTTGTAGTACCATAATATCCAACACCAACCCAGAGAATATATCACTTTAAACCAAAGAGCGTGTAGGAGGGTTTGGAGGGGTGGGGGGTTATATAATGGTTCATAGGTTCATTGTGAATGTGTGTTTGCACCAAAAATATTAATTACTCTGCTGAAAAAAAACAGTTTAAACCAGCCTAGACTGGTTGGCTGGTTTTCAGGTGGTCGACAAGCCTGACTTTAGAGGGCTTTTGGTCATTTCAGTCTGGTTTCCAGCCATTTCCAGCCCGGTCATAGCTGGTTAGGGTGGGAGAAGACCAGCTAAAACCAGCTTGACTTGCCTAGCCAGAACCAAATATGGCCAGCTTAAACCAGACTAGTCAAGCTGGTTTTAGCTGGTCATTTTCCAGCCTGACCTGCTAAGACCTGGCTGGAAATGGTCCAAAAATAAAACCAGGCTGGTCAACCAGCTAAAACCAGCCAACCAGCTTTGGCTGGTTTAAGCAGTTTTTTTCAGTAGGGTAAGAAGAAACCAGCAAATCTACAGCACCAACAAACAGTCTAAGTGTTCACAAAACATGTTTCTTGTAAAATAGGCATATACAGTAGGTTGCAGTTAAACAAACAAACAAACAAACAAAAAAATCTAATAATACGTGCAGTTTTTTTATGGTCATCCATTAATCGGTGCAGGATTGCAAACCTGCCACCATTTAGTTAACATCGCAAAAGTCATTGAGAAACACACAATATTCCTTAAAATACTGAAAACACAATAAGTTTTATCAATAAATTAGATGTAATTAAATTAAATATATAAATTTGGTTTACTGAGGCATTCACTGAGTCATTTTAGCCCCTTTCACACAGTGATACCAGTAATTATCCTGAAACTTTCCTGAACGACTTTACCGATAAAAAAAAAAAAAAAAAAAAACAGTGATCACACAGACAAGGACATTCTGGAAAAGACCGTTCACGCATCTATTCCAAACACCGGTAAATTCTGACATCATCAGCAACTCTACACGGCTGCGCTTGTATTTCTAAACATAGAAGGGGTCAGGCTTTTGTTGGTGGTTTCACTTGTATTTAAAGCTTTGTCCCAGAGACATCCAAAAGCAGAAGTGAGAACCACAGCTAAATGTTTACACATTTGGCCAGATTAAAATTCTGTGGAAAGGTAAGTATTGTGAACAAGTTATATGAAAACATATGGAGGAACACTTTCACATGTCGAGATGTACACATGTGTGTGTGCTGGCGCTCACTGGAGCATCGGAGCTGGTGCGCACACGTCAAAGAACTGAAGCAGAGCTTGAAGGTAAACAGCGGTTTATCGATATTTTTACACAGTTGCCATTAAGAAGGAACATAGAAACGTATTCTGACTAACATCCAGCAGCTAAATGTGTCTGGAAAAATATTCAAAGGCGGAGGTGAATACGGCTGAATGTTCTGATTAGCTGGAGTAGACGTCTCACGTCAGCGCATTCTAAACATGAACGCACTCTTTCTGGCAATTTTGGTTGTTGCTAGATCATATACGATTGCGGCCGAAAGTTAACGATAATTATTTATATTATTTTTTAAATTTCCCATTTATTGTATTTTATTGACATCAGTAATGTAAAAACAGTGGTTGTACTGAGTATTATTTATGCTATCTATTAAATTACCCAATAAATTGTTTTTTTTAAGGCCTACCCCCACCCCAAACCTAAACCCAACCATCACAGTACTGTAAAAACATGAACTATTGTTAAACAGTATAATAAAAAATGCTGCTACATTAATGTGCATATCGCAATTCCGGTTGGCCGCATATCCAAACTAGACTTCATCGACTAATTTTCCTTCTGCATTCAATCAGCGCAGCATTCCAGCAAATTACTGGGAATGTTATAACTTTTCTTTCCAGAAAATTGATGGAACAAATTTACCGGTAATTTCAAAAACACATGATCCCTTTACAAAAAATAATTTTCTGAAAAGGTCTGTATGCGGGGGCTAATGCCACATTGTGCCTGATGAAATCCAGTACCCCACCGCCACATTGTCAATGTATAATTGATAATATTGTCAATGTTAATAAAAGAAGAAAGATCAAGGTCTCATAATGCACATCTCATAATCCCTATAATCAAAAGCCCAGCCTAAATAAACAGAAAAATTCAAAACATGAATCACAAAATATGGAAAACTGCTTATTTACGCATGTTTTACAGTGTGGCAGGAAGCATTGAAATGCATGACATACACTGAAGCAGCTCAAAAGATCTTCTTTTAAGGTGGAGTTTTGCTCTCTCTTCAGAAAGACGCCGACAGTGTGAAGTACACTCAGGGACGCGTTGGGTCGTAGAGTAGCCCAAAAAGAGGCATTGTCCTGCAGGCTGGACAGAAGGATGGCCTGACCCAAACCCTGACGCACTTCCAGCTCTCCTTCCTCCAATCCAGCCGAAAGCCCGACCACAAAATCCAAAACTCGAAGCACGTAACTTACCGTCGCCAACCATCCCGTGCGTTCATCGACTACCCCCTCACATAAAGTAAGCTTATGAATGGCGTCTTGCAGGATAGGCAAGGGGTTCACGCAGAGTTGAGAAGTGTCAAAGTCATACGGCGCAGGCAGCATGTCAAACAGCCTCTGGAGGACACATTTGGCGCCGATTTTATCCTCAGAGTTCAAACAGTCGTCTGTGAGTGAAGGCTGCTTTTGAAGTAGTGTGAGGTAAAGCGTGGCGTTTTTACAAATATAGTCCTTCAGACCTGCTTTGCTACAAAGCTCAAGGGCGGTGGAGTTTGTGAAATATTCCAGCTTCCACTTTGAATAGTCGCAGTTTTGTTTTGACGGCTTGTGATTGATTGTGACTTTGGAGCAATACTCCGCAGCCCAGCTGCCATCTTGGGGTATTTGAGACGACTCGTTTCCGCATAAAGACGCGATGAGGGCTGTGTTATTTGGGAGAAAGCATTTTCTAAAGTCCTGGGCGGTGAGTGTTTTGCTGTTTAGCAATGCTAGGCAATCTTCAGTGTCGTCTTTAGGAGATTTAGCAGAAGCTTCATTGGAGAGCTGAAGACAGAGGTCGTCAATACTTGACTGGTTGAGGTACTGGTAATACCTTGTAGCTTCTACCTGAGGAAATTTCACAGCAAAGCCATTAGTAATACAGAACACTTTAAAGCAGAGGTCACCAATCTCTGTCCTGGAGGGCCGGTGTCCCTACAGGGTTTAGCTCCAACTTGCTTCAACACACCTGCCTGGATGTTTCAAGTATACCTAGTAAGACCTTGATTATCTTGTTCAGGTGTGTTTGATTAGGGTTGGAGCTAAAATCTGCAGGACACCGGCCCTCCAGGAACAAGTTTGGTGACCACTGCTTTAAAGGGATAGTTCACGCAGAAAATTCTGTCTTCATTTGGGCTGCTCTAGTTTCAAACCTAAGTTACTTTCACTAAATAATTAACTCTTTTTTTTGCTGCTGTTTCAAACTACTTATTTTAAACGTGCTGAAACAACACAGTTCTTGAGATTTGGTAACATCTTGTAGCTTCTACCTAAAGAAATTTCACAGTAAAGCCATTAGTGATGCATAAAAGTTTTAAAGGGATAGTTCACGCAGAAAATTGTCATCATTTAGGCTGCTCTTGTTCCAAACTTGAGTTTCTTTCTTCTGTTGAACACGATTACACTAAATAATTACAAATATTCTTGCTGCTAGTTCAAACTACTGAATGAGCTGATACAACAAAATTCTTAAGATTTGGTAATACCTTGTAGATTCTAACAGAGGAAATTTCCCAGCAAAGCCATTAGTAATCCAGAACACTTTGGGATAGTTGATGCATAAACTCCTGTCATCATTTACTCTTCTTCCAAACCTGAGTTTCTTCTGTTCAACACTATTACACTCAAAGAATAATTTTTGCTGCTTGTTCAAACTACTTATTTAAAATGAGCAGAAACAACACAATTCTTGAGATTTTTGAGGACAACTTATTTTGTGATGGGTCAACATAAATGAATCATGTGAACCAGCCTGATATCACCAGGAAACTTAACTATTTTAAGATTTGTCAGTTCAGTCAAATGACAATATTTTCAAAATGATTTTTAAAAGGGGGCGTGGCATCAAACCTCACTTCTAAACCGTCATTGGGAGATGAGCAAATCGTACTAAATTGTATGAATGAATTGTACAAACTCAAACTAATTAGCTACAAAAAAGGTTACGAACTGCCGTGATATAGCGTTGGTGTAATCCTGCATTTTATGCAGATATTCTCCTCTGTGAAAAAATGCTGGGTTCCACACAATTGATTAAAACGTATTAATTTTAACATAAAACAATTAAGTTGTCACAAAAACAAAAATCCATTAAGAATTGTGTTGTTTCAGGTCATTTTAAATAAGTGGTTTGAGCAAACACTCCCTAAACTGGGAGAAAATTGATCCTATTTGTACTCTGTAAAAAGTGATTAGTTACTTAAAGTGAGTAAACCAATTGCCTTAAAAGCTACAAGTTGACTTTACAAAAATAATGTAAGTAAACCCTTTGTAACTTGGAACTGTTAAGTTGGCTTAATTTGTCAAATTATGCTAATTGTATTCACTTTTTCAAAAAAATTAAAGTACACTAATCACTTTTTCCAATACATCTTTATTATATTAGTTTTTTTGTCTGTATCCAGCAAAATGACATAAAGTAAAATAAATCTGCTCTTCCAGACTCCACTGTGTCTTTTAAATTCAATACAGGATGTAGTTGTAGATTTTATAGACTTAATGAACCCCCAAATATGTAACATTGTTAAAATTACAGTAATTATTTGAAAACAGACGTGCTAAAATAGTCTGATACTGTAAAAA